CTATGGTAGATACACAAAAGGTAAGCATATAATCAAAGAACACCATTATAGAAAGCCATCAAGCTACAAAAGGATGAATAAAGGAACAAATAATCATTAAAACAGCCAGAAAACAATGAGCAAAATAGCAATAGGAAGTCCATACTTTTCACTAATTACCTTAAATGTAAATGAATTAAATTCTTCAATCAAAAAACACAAAGTAGCTGAATTAGTTTTTTAAAAAAATAAAAAAACAAGATACTCTCTTCAGCTTTAAGGACATACATAAAATGAAAATGAAGATATTCTATACAAACAGAAACCAAAAGAAAGCAGGGTAGCTATAGTTACATCAGACAAAATAGACATTAAGTAAAAAACAAACAAAAAAAATATAAAAAGTGACAAAGAAAGACACCATATAATGATAAATGGGTTAATTCATCAAGATAATATATTAATTATAAATAAGTATGAATACAGTATTGGAGAACCTAAAAATATAAAGCAAATAATAATAGATATAATAGTGAAAAAAGATAATGATATAATAACAGGGGACTTCAATACCCCACATTCAATAATGGATGAATTATTCATACAGATAAACAATAAAGAAGCACTGGACTTGAATTACACTTTAGACCAAATGGACCTAACACAGAAATTCCATTAACAGTAGAACACACATTCTTCTCAAGTACACAAGGAACATTCTCCAAGATAGTTAGCTCTCTTTATCTATGGGTTCTGTATTAGTGAATTCATTGAATTATAGGTTAACAACCTTTGGAAAAAAATTGTGTTTGTACTGAACATGTAGATTTTTTTCTCTTGTCAGTACTCCCAATACAGTAATAACAACTATTTACTCAACATTTACATTATGTTAGGTATTACGGGCATTCTAGAGATGATTTAAACTATTCAGGAGGACGTGTATAGGTTACTATGTCATTTTATATAAGGGACTTACATATTTTGCTATATGCAGGGGGTGCAAAGGCACGATTATAAAATATACTAATGGATAGCCTTTGTGTTGAAAAATGATAAAATTATAGACATTCAAATGGCTAGGAAGGGATGAAGAGCACTGGAAATGGCAAATATGTGATTAAATATGAAAGAATACACAGACATCCTCTGACATAACAAAGGCTCAGTTTAGGATTTTTCAAATTTACAATGTTGTGAAAGTTATATACACTCAGTAGAAACCACATTTCAAATTCTGAATTTTGATGCTTTTCCTCGATAGTGTTGTGTGGTGATGCTGCAGCAGCAAGCCACAACCAGCCAGCCACAAAATCCTGGGGTCACCAACCAATATCCATACTCTGAATGTGCTGTGTTCAGTAAATTTCAAGAGATATACAACATTTTCATATAAAATAGGCTGTGTTAGGTGACTTTGCCAACTGTAGACTAATGTAATTGTTCTGAATGTGTTTAAAGGAGACTACATCACAGATTGTTTAGTAGCTTAGATGTAGTAAATGCATTTTGAACTTACAATTTTTCATTTGTGAGGGCTTTTTGGTACGTAATTCAATTGTAAGTCTAGGAGCATTTGTATATTCATTCTTTGAAAAATACAAAATTATTTCACAGTAATAATTGCAACACTGTTGGACTGTATGTGTGTGTAAGAAACTCCCTTTTCATTGGAACAGTTTAGTCCGTTCACATTAATGGTTTGTGTCTTTGTGTGTGTGTGTGTGTGTTTATATTTATGGTATAATTAGTTCATTACATATATGTATGTATGTATGTGTAAGAATATATATAGGCATGAAGGGAGGGTAGAAAATGAAGCCATGTTGGAACAAAGTTGCAATTTTTTATCAAAATTTAGTATTAAATAGAGTAGAATATAATAAAGATTTTTACTATAATCCCTGGAACAAGCACTAGAAAAAAATTAAACATATCGCTCCAAAAAGAGGAATTTAATGGCATGTTATTATTAAATTATTTATATGTTAACTCTCAAAAGACAGCAAGAAATGAGGAACAGAGGAATAAGAAATTAAATTCCAGACATTCTAACATCAGGAAAACAGCATCGAGAGACATAGAAAATAAAATGACAGATGAGATATAACCACCTCAATAATTATATTAAATATAAACAGGCTAAAAAGCAAATACAGAGATTGTTAACCAAACCATGCAAATTCTCAAAAAAAAATCTCCCTTTTATCTGTGTACATTTTTGAAGAATACTAGATAAATATTAATGGAGGTAAATCAAAAAAGGAAAGTAAATGACATCCAAGAAACAAGAAAGCCAAAACAGGAACAATGTGAAAGATGGTGCTGGATGCTCTAGAATAGTAATCAGCTCAGTTCTGGAGAACTTTGTCTCTAGGAATAAAAGAGAGCTGATAATGTCTAAAACTTTATTTGGCAGACATTTGATAGATCTGTTAGTTCTATGGATAAACAAAGTGAAAAGGATAAGGGAAACTAAACAAATAAAAAACAAGGCAACTATTAACTCTGGAAAATAAAAGGTGAAGAAAACAACCCTTGATATGCTAATTGGTTAAGCAGCCATTCATTTCATGTTCACTTACTGAGTGCTCCCTGTTGCCTGGGCATGTTGTAGGCACTGGTCTGACAGCAATAACAAAATAGATCAAACTCCTTCTAAGTGACTTACATTTTAGTAAATGGACACAGATGCTTGAAAAGGAAACTGTCTGTAATATAAGTGATTCATAGGTTAAGGAAAATCTGCAAGTATATATGGATTGAAAAGTGGGACATACCTGCTATTTTCCACAGAATAGCCAGGGAATAAAGTGACACTTGAACTAAGACCCATGTAAAATGAAGGAGAACCACTGGTAGAATACCATTTTAGAAAGAACAGATAGTTCAAGGACCTAACACAGGAATGGACTGTATTCAACTGTTTGAAAGAACAGAGGGATGAAGGGTGGCAGAAGATAGCTGGGTATGATCAAAAAGTTAACCCAGGGCCTTCCTGGCCCTGATAAGGACTTTGGATTTACAGAGCCATATTAATGATACTAATGATTGAAATAACATGTATGTTGTAACCAGTATGAAAATAAAAGGATAAAAAAGAGGGAGGAAGTTGTAGGAGAGCACTAGGAAATTGGTAGATAATACCTAACAGTGATAAATTACTAGATTGCAACATGCACACAGTAGCTATATCTATGGATGTAAAACCAGAAGAAACTGCTGAAAAAGTTGAAAGTGGCTTCACTAGAGAGGCAAGGAGGGATGGAGCATGAAACTGCTACTCGTCATCTAAGTTTCTCATAATGCTTGATATTTTTAAAACTATATGCATTTTTTTTTAATTGTGAAAGAGCTTAATGTCAGGGCAGGGGAGATCCCTTAATTGTCAATGTGGAAGATGTGAAAAGGTCCTTAAAATCTAGTGGGTGATAAAGGATGGGCCAACAGCCAGGTCTAGAATGGTTATTGTGTTAGTCAGCTTTCTGGTGCTGAGACAAAGACATCTAAAATAATCAACTTAAGGGAAAAAAGATTTATTTTGGCTCCCAGTTTTGGAGGTTCTAGCTCATGGTTGGTTAGTTTGTTGCTTGTGAACCTATAGCAAAACAGTATATCACTGCAGAGAACACATAGTATAGTGAAGCTGCTCACAGCATGACAGCAAAGAGGAGGAAGAGACTGGGATCCCAATATTCCCCTACAGTGCACTCCCAGAACGACCTAACTTTGTGCCACTAAGCCCCACCTCCTGAAGGTTCCACCACTTCCCAATGGTGCCAAGTTGGGGACCAAGCCTTCTGCTCATGGGACTTTGTAGGATATTCCAGATGCAAAGTATAAAAGCTGTGTAGATGACGGGCACTTTATGTTCCTAGGGAATCTTTTTTTTCTGTCAGTCTTGGTCTATCTTCTACTCCTATAACATAATACCACAAACTGGGTATTGCAGAACTTTTTTTCTTATAGTTCTGGAAGCTAAGAAGTCTAAAGATCAAGGCCTCAGCATATAGTGTCTGGTGAGGGCTGCATTCTCACATGGCAGAATGGCAAAAAGAGGGACCAACCCCATTCATCAAAATCCTTTACAAGTATACCTAATCCCATTCATGATGGAGGAACCATCATTGCCTAATCGCCTCTTAAAGGCCCTAACTCTTAATATTACACATGCTGGCAAACACCTGAATTTTGGAGGGCACACTTTCAAACTATAGTAGTCACCCAAACTGTTATTTTCCTCTTAAGTTACATATTTTTTATGCCCCAGGGAAAAATAAACATTTTTCTTCTTAATAAATTCTAGCTAACACTCCTAATTTCTATCCTATATTCTCATGCTATTGTAAAAGAGATAAAAGCAAATCATGCCTGAAGTCTTTTTTAGAATGAGGTGATGTTTATATAATTATTTTGATGCATATAAATTTGAATCATATTGACCATATTCTTCATATGTCCAAAATCTTGTTTTCCACATTATTTTCAAATTAGATGAAAAATGGCATTGTGATGCCATATACATATCTAATTGAGATTTGTCATCAATTTGTATTTTATGAATCATCTATTCATGTCTTGTTCATTGATCCTTTTTATTAATTTGTAAAAGCTCTCTAGTACAATAGCCATAGAGCTGTTACATACCTTATACCTGCTACAAATACCATATAGCTGCTGCAAACTTTTTTTAAACTGTCTTTTTGATACATAAAATGCTTATACAACTGAATTTTTCTCTTTTACTTCCCTCCTTTGTTTATACTTATTCTGATTTCTTTACCCTGAGACCACTGCAGTTTTTACAACCTTAGGGTTAGTAATGATCTCTTCATCACATAACTCACCTTATGAACAAGACTTCAGTGACAGAACATAAAAGCTTATTTGATAAGAAACAGCTGACCCTTCTTGATGTGGCTCATGATTTGGACTCCTTAGGCATGTAATTTATTTCTTACCAAAATATATATTAATATGTCTTCTTGAATGATCACTAACAGCTGTTCCTAATTTTTTAGGTGTCCTAGAACACTGATGGCAAACTTCAAGGGCCATGCTCTCCCGGGGAGCTTCTTCTTGATAGTTGGACTGTGGTGGTCAGTGAAGTACCCACTGAAGTACTTTCACCAGAAGGGGAAGAACAGCAGGCTCAACCATTATTACCAGCGTCTAGAGGTCATCGAGGCTGCAGTCAGGATTCTGTTTTCAGTCATTGGTAAGAGCAGGGTCATTTGGTCTGGGGAATGGTCACATCATACCAGAACCTTTAATCCATTTTCTGGGCTCTGTGAAATAGATGTTTCACTGGCGGAGACAATACAACAAGGATTTTCAAATAGCCACTAGGCTGTTTTATCATAATACCTACTGGGTATATTGTTAACAGAGTCTTAACATTGTATATAGACTATGAAAAACTACCAAATAAACTATACTCTTTGTCCTAAAAGGACACTGGTTTAGGAGGTTGTTGAAGCAAAACACATACTATATGAAAAAGATATAAAAAAAAATAGCCAAGAACTACATTAAAGCAGAGTAAACTTATGTACATGAACTAAAAAGTACTAAATGGAGTTTACAGTTAGTTTAGGAAAAATCATTTTTCCTCATTTGTCTTTCCCTCTAGAATCTCAGGGTAGTTAACTACCATCTGGTTGGCATGCCTTCCCTCCTCAAATCGCAAGCAACTATAGAGGGGGGAAGTTTGCACAGGAGGGCTAGTAAGGTAAACAGTGGGACCAGACTGAAAAGAGCCAACAGGGAATGAGCACTGACCATAGTAAGGGTTCCTCTTCAGAATTAGCCCTGCACTGCATTAAGTTAATTAAGGCTCTTATTCTGCAATTGTGCTTGGCCACTTGCTATCCTTGGCCTAGTTTTACAGGAGGGAATGAAGCAAAGACAATAACTTCCTTTGGAGTAAGCAAAGCTCACCCAGCTTTGTTTGCTTACCTAGCTGAGATTTCCTGTTCTCAGTTCAGACATCAGAGATCTTTCTGGAGTTGAGAAATGACTGGGGCCGTAATGATTTACATAGAAGAGATAGCCTCAATTTTGCCTAAATAAAGCTAGAAAAATTGTATATGGCATCTCAGCTGGGTGAAAGTGACACGTGTTCAACAGCTATCTCTTGAGTTCTAACCATGTGTGAATGTTAGAAACACAATAAGGAACCATATTCCACTCACAAGGCTTCTATTCTGCTGTCACTGCTACTTCACGCAGGTCATTTTCACCAACTTCCTGAACAGTTATAAATTAGTTCAGAAAGGGGCTGTTTTGAGAAACAAAATTTTGGGGAACAGCATCCAGAAATGTTATGATGGAAGACTCCCAGGCTTCCACAAGAACATTTTGAGTATAAGACAAATCTTCTAAGAGGTGGTAAAAGTACATGGGACAGACAGGTACTGAGAGCTGTGCTGGGTTACAGCAGCAAAAACTTCTGGCTCTGCTTACTTCTTGGATACAGTATAGCAAAAAACAAACAAACAAACAAAAAACTGTAGCACCTTCACCCTGTCAGTATACTCCTCCAGGGCTGGAGGAGCCTGCAGGTTACAGAGCTTGCTTGATGCTGATATGGGAGCTGCTGTCCTCCCTTAGGTTTGTACAAGGATCTTCATCACAGTCTGTCTTTGGAGATATCTTTCACTGCTGACTTGGCAGAGGAGCCCAAAGATTAGTGATCAGCTACATTCTCACTTAAGTGGTCTGGCCTTGTGTTCACCTTAGCTTGGAACAAATATACTGGAGGCCTGTGTATGGATGCATTTCTATTGCTTATCCTAGACCCACAACTCCCAAAAAGGAGAAACAAAGGCCAGTTACCAAAAAGATTACTTGGCCAATCTTATTTTATGCTGAAGGAGCTACATTCAAGGTAGCAAAGCATAGGCAACCCTCACCCACATCTAGACTTGGTTCATGCCTGTTATGGTTTGGGTGTGAGGTGTCCCCCAAAGGCTCCTGTGTGAGATGCAAGAAAGTTCAGAGAAGAAATGATTGGGTTGTGAGAGCCTTAACCCAATCAGTGAATTAATTCCCTGATGGGATTATCTGGTGGCTGGGGGGGGGAGGCAGGCATTGGGGGCATGGCTTAGAGTATATATTTTATATCTGGAGAGTGAAGTCTGCTTCTCTGCTTTCTGATTATCATGGGAGCTGGTTCCCTTTGCCACTCTTCCAACCATGATGTCCAGCCTCACCTCATCCCCCAAGGAATGGACCCTACTGTCTGTAAAGATTGAGACCTCTGAAACAGTGAGCCCCTAAATAAACTTTTCTTCCTCTACAGTTGTGTCAGGTCTTTCAATCACAGCAGTGAAAAAGATAACTAACACAGAAATTGATAAGAGGAGTGGGGTTCTTGCTGTGCCTAACCTAATCATGTGGTTCAGAAGCTTTTTGGAATTTGTGGGTGGAATTTTGAGATGTTTAGCAGTGCAAGATGGAAATGTTTTAAACTGTTGTAAACAAAAGATTAATGGCCAATTCTGGTGGGAGCTCAGAAGACCAGAATGCCAATAGGAGGGTGGACAGGGAAGACAGGGCTCAAGAGGGTTAAGAAGAAAAGGAGGACACTATTGGTAATTGGACTAGAGGCCATCCCTGTACTGTTCTGGCTGAGAAGTTGTCTGCTTATTGTCTATGTCCTAAGACTTTCTTTGAGGCCGATTTTAAAAGTGATGGAGTTCTTAATCTAGCAGAAGAAACGTCTAGGCAACACAGCATTCAGGAATTCTCATGGGTGTTACTGGCAGCTTTTAGCCAAGTTTATTGTGATATTCGGGAGTAGAAATGTTTAAAGAACTTGAAAGGCAGGAGTAAAACTGGAGCTAAGGAAGTTGCAATTGTTATAAGACTTTACTGACACTAAAGAAATGCTGAAGACTATCCAGAGGCAATAAGAAAAATGGCTTGAGGTTATCTCAGGAGCTGGCAAGCCCACACCCACCTCAAACTCAAGGAAATAAAAGTAAAAATTCTCTTGAGACCAGTAGGGCACCCTTCTTACACGAGGGGGCCTAGGAAGTTTTTTCAACATGCTCAGCAACGCAGACATTCACATGCTACTTCAAGCAAGGGTCCCTGCAGACTTGGCTACTGCTCAAGATGGTGACAGTCTTGTTGTCAACCATGTGGTGCTGGTTCTGCAGGAATTCAGAATGCTGGAGTTAGGGGGTCATGGAGGCTTCCACCAAGATTCCAAAGGAAGGTCTTGGAAACCAGGCAAAGTGCAGCAGGGTCAGAGTCCCTGTGGGCATGCCCTGAGAAGATAAGGTATGGAGGTTTGAGGAGGAAGTCAAAGCTGCAGTGGAGACCCCCAAGATTAAGAAATGCCAGTAATATGGGACATCAACCTAGAAAAGCTGCAGGAATTGAGCAGAGACAAGCCAACACAAAGGCCACTTGGGCTGCAACCAACAAGGCCACAGGGATGTAGCTACACAAGACCTTTGGAGAGGATATTATATCATGTGCTCCAGATGCTGGACACATAACTATAGGCGCTGTTTGCCCAGCTGGATTTCAGTCTTGCTTTGGTCCCATTACTTTTTTTCTATGCCCCTATTTTTGTAAATGGAAATGTTTACTCAGTATCTTTATACAATGCATACCTGTAAATTGCTTCTAACTTTAGAAGCTCACAATGCCAGATTGCCTTGAGCCTCAGAGAAGACTTTGGACTTGAACTTTGAGCAATCTTGGAACTGTTGAGACTATAAGGACTCTTGGGAATGGACTAAACATAATTTGCATTATCTGATGAATGTGAGCTTTTGGAGGCCAGAGGTGGAATGTTATGGTTTGGATATGAGAAGTCCCCCCAAAGCTAATACATGAGACAATGCAAGAAAGTTCAAAGAAGAAATGATTGGGTCATGACAGCATTAACCCAATCAGTGAATTAATCCTCCTGATGAAATTAACTGAGTGGTAACTGAAGTGGTAGGGTGTGACTGGAGGAGGTGGGAACTGGGGTGGTGACTTGGAAGTATATATTTGTATCTGGCAAGTGAAGGCCTTTCTGCTTTCTGATCACCATTTGAGCTGCTTCCCTCTGCCACATCATGATGTCCTGGCTCAACTTGAGCCCCCAGGAATGAAGCCTGCTGTCTGTGGATTGAGACCTCTGAAATCACGAACCCCTAAATTCTTCCTCCTCTACAGTTGTTCTGGTTGGGTCTTGTAGTCACAGCAGTGACAAAGCTAACTAAAACAATGCCTTTCAGGTATTTTTTTATTATTTAAATTGTCTTGGAGCTACTCTCTCTACTCACTTACCACTCTCATTTCTGGCAGGGATCCTGGCAGAGCAGTTTGTTCCTGATGGGCCCCACCTACACCTCTACCATGAAAACCACTGGATGAAGCTAATGAACTGGCAGCACTGCACCATGTACCTATTCTTTGCAGTCTCAGGAATCACTGACATGCTCACCTACCTTGCCTCCCATGTCCCCTTGGGGGTAGACAGATTGGTTTTGGCTATGGCAGTATTCACTGAAGGTAACTTAGTAAAATGGATGGAGAAAAAGGGAGGAGAGTCAGACAAGTTAAATTTATGAGATCAAAACATAAATGGCCAAAAATATTGCAAATTCAACTCAGGACTCCCAAATCTTGAATAGGACTTTGTCCTATGCTCTGGATGATCTCGACTGCATATTCCATAAAGCATCTCATGAAAGCTTAAGGCCTTAAGACAGTTCTCAAAGGTTCTGGCTAACACTGCCCAGAGCCTCCCTGCCTTCCCACTGCCACCAATACTGCACTCATACATGTGCATATTCCTATGCACGGGTGCACACATGCACATATATTCACATAGATACAATGCTTCAGGACTGATTGACTGCTACTATATATGGAGTAAATTCTTTTGGTTAAGGAAGAGACACTGCACCCTACTCCACCTCTTGGGGTGTTATTGTGTTGGCCTCTATTACAAGTCTCAAGAGACACACTGCATTAGTCAACTTTCTACCACTATTGTTAAACACCTAACATAAGCTACTTAATGAAGGTCAGTTGGGCTCACAGTTTTGAAGTTTCAAGTCCAAGAATGAGCGGCCCTGTCTGACCTCAAATCATGAAGATTGCACATCAAAGCAAGAGCATATGTAAGAGCAAAATGGTCACATTTTGAACCAGGAACAAAGAGAAGGAGGGATTGGGTTTCCCCTTGAAAAGCAACCCTTCCCCATGACCTAAAGACTTCAAACTAAGCCCCTCCTCTTAAAAGATCCACAGCAACTCCCTATACCAGCACCCTGAGGGCCAAGCCTTTACATATTGACCTTTGAGAGACACTTAAACATAGCACCCACCCAACTGCTCAGGGGAAAGTGGTAGAATCCCAATATACCTCACATTAACTGAAGCATGAAGAAAGCATTTTGTAATCCAATCACTTCTACCTCAGCAGAGTTGAAACAGAAGGTTGAAGAAGGGAAAAACTGAATTTCAAGTATACATACTCACAGCTTGTTATAAAGCAGCACCATGTATCCCTTCTGTATAGAACCTTACTGTGGATTCTGGAGAGTTATCTTTTTAATACATCTTTCTTGACACTCTTACCATACCTACGAAATTAACTTAATCTGCACCTGTTTGTTGTCCTGGAACACTTCCTAAAAGAAGAAGCTATCTTTGAGACAGATCTAAGAGAAAATTTCAATAACAGGAAAAGCCCAGGGTGAATTCTCTTAAGTATTAACAAGCAAGTCTCTGATGGCTGTCATTTGGTTCGTGGCAGGTTTTCTCTTCTACTACCATGTTCATAACCGATCTCCACTGGACCAGCATATCCACTCACTCCTGCTGTATGCTTTGTTTGGAGGCAGTATCAGTATCTCCCTGGAGGTGATCTTTCGGGACAACATTGTGCTGGAACTTTTCCGAACCAGTGTGGTTATTCTTCAGGGAACTTGGTTCTGGCAGGTGATTATTCACACCAACATTCTTTAGATGGTCTAGATTGAGGAGTCCCCTCAAGTGTGCCCAAGAAAATCCTGAAGGCAAAATGTCTGAAAACGCAGCATACACCCCTCAGGAATGTTTTCAAATGGCCCCTTTCTCCCTAGGCCCATACCCTGACCTATGTGCTTTTTCTGTTACTATCCTGTTGCTGCATTAACCTGTGGCAAGACTTCCCTAGTACAGGCAGGCACTGGTACCTTCTACAAGTCCCACTTCCTAACCTTCCCACAATTAACATTCCTGTATGAAAAGGCGTGAGATAGTGGGTAGCTTAAGCAAAACTGGTGGCCACTGGGGAAGGCTGGCTTCTCAGGACAACTAACCAAAAGACCAATTTCTTCTTCATCTAACCCACCAGATTGGGTTTGTGCTGTTCCCACCTTTTGGGACACCTGCATGGGACCAGAATGATGAGGCCAACATCATGTTCATCACCATGTGCTTCTGCTGGCACTACTTGGTTGCCCTTTGCATTGTGGCCATCAACTATTCTCTTGTTTACTGGTATGTTCTTTTTTGACAAGTGCTAATCCCTAGGCAGTGCTGATTAACTTCTACTTGTGTTAATAGGTGCCAGCTATATATGCCAAATCCTAGGTAAGGCACTCGATACTTCAGAATAGGTATTACAACTCTCATTTTACCAATGAGGATGATAAAGGCTTTTTGATGTTAAATGACCTGACTAGGTCATAGTACCCTGACAGACCAAAGTCTCACATACAGCTGTAGTACAATGGGGAAAACTCTGAACTAGGGATCAGTACTGGGTTGTAGACCCTGCTGTTACTGGTTCATCTGGGACCCCTCTTCTATTTCTAGTCTTGTTTTGCCTACTTGCTAGAAATGTTATCAAAACATATGCCGAGGCAGAAAGTGCTCTCTAGAGTGCTTCTTAGCAGTACACAGACTATAATAGCTATTAACTCCCACGTACTCACTGTGTCACAGGCATAGATAACTCTCAACACTGTATTACCCCACTTTGCTCTATAGCTTTATGATGAACTGTTAATGTTTTACAGATGGGGAAATCAAAGTTTCAAGGCTGAGTAACTTGACCAAGGTCATCCAACCAGTAAATGTCGGTGCCTTGCAGTACAAGGATGACTTACAGCATATGGTTTTACAGTTCTATGGCTGTTGTAGCTGCCCCTCCTTTTTTCCTAGGTGCTTATTTCCCTAGACCCAAAGCAAACACACTACACCCAGAAGAGTCTATAACAGACCAAACAGAAAGGAGTTATAGTCTACTCCCTTGTCAGTGAAACAGCTGAATCTGAGCTCAATTATGACATTTCAGTCACACTGAGTATTCTGAGGTGTCAGATATACAAACACATATCACAATATTTAATAGAGATGTGAAGAAAATGCTTTAAGAACCAATAGGTATTTTTAAATCCTCAGATGAGGAAGGATCTTTTTCTGCCTAATCTAATTGGACCTCATTGTTTTTTCTATTACAGCCTTCTGACACGGATAAAGAAACATGGAGGAGAAATTATTGGGATTCAGACACTGAAGTCCAATCACACTTACCAGACTGCACTTTTAAGTGGCTCAGATGAAGAACGAGATTAGGCCATGGACTTTAGGAGACCTCCTATCCCTTTGAGCCCCCAAGGAGTGAATATAGCTTATTCCCTCATTTTGAGGCTTACCTTGGTCTGCTCCTAAGGCTCCATACATTTGTACCTCCTCATTTAATACAAGGCTGGAGGCTTCAGTACAGGAAATTAGGCCTCTGATGTTTTGTATATTTTGCTGTTTGGATTCTTAAACATAAGGTAACTTAGTCTGTGTTAGTGTAATATCCTTCATAAAGAGAAATGAGGTAATACCTGTAAGTAACAAGCCTGTGCATCTGTATAGAGAAATCAAAGACTGAACACCTAAAACAGGAAATGACCTTGTGAATAAAATAATGAGAGTCCAGCAAGACATCATGCTGCTTTTCCTTCAAGAAAACAGGTATTTTCTTATTGGAAAAATATCAGGACACATGTGAATGACTTTTACTTTAAAGCTATAATTCTAACTTGTATTTTTTTTTTAAGTAAAGCAATTTACAAGCAAATTTTAAATATTACTTGTTAAACATTTTCTAACTAATCTTAACAGAGCACTGCAATGCCTCCATTGATAAGGGACAAAATTAGGCCAAAGATATATATATATATATATATTTTTTTTTTTTAAAACAGGAAGTTAGTTAGTAGCCCAGCCAGGCTCGTGGAACTCAGCTGTTTTGACTTCTAAAGTCACCAAAAGAGGGTGCCAAAAGGAAATCTGTACAGTGAGGTACAGAGAAAAACATCAGGTTATGGAACGCCTTGAATTTCAACACAGCTGAAAGCAAAAGACATGAATTCTGAATTAGTAATATAAAATCTTGATACTATATCTTTTTTTCCTTTAAAAAAAAAAAAAATTCTTTCAACAGATGTCTACTTTGCACCAGATCTGAAATGGTTGTCCCAAGTAATGAAATATGTGTTCAGCAAGGAGCTGACAGTCTAGTGTTAGGGGGAGACAGTGTAGGCATTTACACAGTGTGGTGGGGCTTTGAGAGGTAAACGCGAACCATGATAGAGGAAGCAAGAGAGTTGTTTCTATAGGGAGTCTGTCCTACAAAGAGCTTACTCCAGGTACAGAAAGTGCAAAGGCAATGAAAAGGAGGAAAGAACATAGATAATTAAGTATATGAAGTTGAACAGGCAGATAAAAGTGAACTAGCATAAAGCTGAAGGGTCTTAAGAGACCACCTAACACCTTTTATTTGTACAGCATTTTCTGGATGAGATGCATTCTCTCATTTGGTCCTCACAGCTGTCTTTCAAACTTGACACCAAAACTTAGGGATTAAAAATGAGCTACTAAAAACATTGATTTAGTTATTATAGAGAGCTGGATCCCCTTTTGCCATCTACCTTGGTGTTGCCAGCTGAATGGGAACTCAAACATTCAACAAACAGTGCCAGGCACAGTGGTGCAAGTCTGTAATCCCAGCAGCTCAGGAGGCAGAGGCAGGAGGATTACAAGTTTGAGGCCAGCCCCAGCAATTTAGTGAGGCCCTAAGCAACTTAGATAAGATCCTGTCTCAGAATAAAATATAAAAAAGGACTAGGGATATTGCTCAATGATAAAGCACCTCTGGTAACCCCCATCCAAAAATCAAAGTATTGAAGGACTCATTATTAGCAATTAATGTAAAATATGCATTTTTCATAGGGACTGGAGGTGGGAAGAACTTAGTTTCTGTTTTATTTTCACAGGAAAGATATACATTTGGGGTTTTGTTGTTGTTGTTTTAAGGGGTAGACTAAGAAATATAATACTCTCTAGAGTGAGTAGTTGAGGTGTGAAAATCGGATAGGAGATATTAAAATTTATTTTGATGCAAGCCCCACATCATGGTTTGGAACACCTTAATAGAAGTGATCAACCCTGGCATAAACATTCTTAGATATGATACTAAAGTACAAATGGATCATGATGTTGTTCATCAACTCCTCTCTTGGATGTGCTGTCTGAATAATTTTACCAATCTCTGTCAACCAGCTTAATGGCTGTCGCCAGATTTCAAGAACTGTTCCCCACCACAGCTGCCCCATCACCTGGAGTCCTGAAGTCTACATGTGAAGGAAGCATATATGGTACAAATACTGGTGCTCTCACCATGAACAACTCTCACTCTATGCTATTCCACCATCAGGCTGAATAGTGCCAATATTAGATCTCCCAGGGAGTCAAGCCACACTGACATCCTGAAATAGACCTGTGTTTCACATCCCTGCTCTCTAGAACATACACATCTGTAGCACAAAGCAGTTAGATAACTTCAGTAGATTAACGTGTAGGATAGGGCTTCGGCTGAATGCCAGCGCTACTTTTATGGCATCATTTGTTAAGTAAATTCAGAAGAGGTTTGTTTTTAACCAGCAATAAATATCTCAGACAGAATACCTCAAATTTCTATCTTTTTCTCTTTCGTGCCACATGTCACATGGCTTCCTATGTGAAAAGTAACTCTTAGAATGATCTCTATATTATAAAACACTCAAGTAAAGTACCCTGTTGTTCCCTCCCTCTAGTCTCTACCTCTCACCATTTCTAGTCTTATTTCTGTGCCAGTCTTCCATACATCCATCAAGAGTTCTGTCTTACCTGTCTCCTCTGTCCTCTGGAATTTAGGGTTCCCACCTTCCAACTCTGATTGTCCCCAACGCCCATCATGATACATCCTAGCCATCCTCCCCTTAAGAATGCAGCAGAGAAGGAATCTTAAGATCAGAAGTCTGAGTTTTCACCTTGGTTCTGTTTTTAATCTTCAGTCATACTCATCTTCTCACAGCTAAAAGGGGGCTGATACATCTATTTTACAGAACTGCTATAGGAAATTATAAAACCACTGGGTAACCAACAAGTCACTCTAACCTTTTTCTCAGCACCTTGCCTAATGCCCACCTGCAACATAGCTACCATCTAAACCAGGCCACTTCCATTCTGTGTCCTCCAGCTCTATTTCCCCACCCAGATCCTATATAAGACCACCACTAACAGTCCACAGGTTCAAGAAAATTTTTTTAATAATATGAATAACTTCTGAGATAGGGAAGCCCTATCATTGCAAAAAAGCATTCCTACCACCCCTGCCCCATGATAGGTGAGGCATATGTTATAAATGACCAGTTCCTTAAGTACTTAGGACATTTTAAAATACCATTCTGAGTTCCACTTAGAGCTAAAAGTGGCTGAGGACTGCAATAACCAGGAATAAATAAATTGAAATCCAGACTAACCTCTTCTGAAGCTGGTAGTGCCCAACCCTGCACACTGCCAACTTTCTACCTGCTGTTTCTCCTGCCAGAAATCAACATACTTTTTCTTAAAGGGTTATAAAAGTATATCACTTCAGGCTTGAGGGCCACACAGTCTCTATGATATCTACTCGATTCTGCCTGCTAACTTGAAAGCAGCCATAGATACTACATAAACAAATGGGTGTTGGCTATGTTCCAATAAAACTTTATTTACAAAAACTGGTGGTTGGGCCCAAGAGCCTGGGGTTTGTGACTCCAACTCTAGAACAAAACAGAATGCACAATCTCTGAAATGCAACAAAGTTGGTGCTGCAAAGTCTCTGTCACTGTACTCTGCCCACTGGGCAGATGAAGGTATGGACCACAATCAAGACCCCAACAAAGAGGTGATGCCAGAACAATCCCATTTTGGGGAATCCACACTACCTAACTTCTATGTTTTTTTTCATCTCATAGACTCTCAACTACAATGTAGTTATCAAATCAGCCACCAACTGGCTAGGATTCTCATTCTGGTCAAAAAAAACAAGTGGTCATTTTAGAGAGGAGCTAAAGCCCACATTTCTATTTGATGAAGAGTGTAATAGGCTCTTTAAAAAAATAAGTTACACAAAATTTTCAGAACACAAAACTCATATCTAGACCACAAGTCACAAAGAAAACCAGAAACTAAAAAATACAACCCTTAGAACAAGGCTTACACACTGCCTGCCCACTCTAAATAGTAAGCCTTCCCTGGGCGTCCTACTCTCAGGAGAGAACTTTGGCTTGAATGATGGAATCATGACCTTCCACGACTGTTGACAGAATCTTCTCCTAGATTGGTAGAGAGCAGACTCAGGAACCTGGAGTAAAACATTCTTAGGGCTCCAGTATGGTGTATGGCAGCAGAATCAAGGCCGTTTCTATCCTCCCCACTAGCCTGCCTTTAACAGACAAGCTTGGAGGAATAACGAAACCTCCATGCTCCCTTTCTTTGAGCCAAGGCAGACCAGGAGTGATCTTTTATGGAAGCCACCTCTGTCACAATCACTGCTGTTCAGGTGCCTGTTTAGGAGATGGAGCTGTGGTCACAACAACAGTGGAGACTGCTTTGGAGGAACCAGAAGCTGTGCCCTGCTGGAGATGAGATGCGGGGACAGTCTGGATGCGCACCTGTTTGCAAAGAGAAGGTCTTGTCAGTGGACTATAAGTAGGTGCATCAGTTAAGGACAGTAAAGGAAAAAGAAAAGTCTGATGTGGCCAAGAGTCTGCCTTGGACCTTACCTGTGTGGCCTGACCTTGCTGCTGAAGTTGCTGCAACTGCTGGGCAGTGAGGAAACTAACAGGCTTATTGCCAGCAATGAGCTTAGTACCTGCTGGCATGGTGGTGAGGATGATATTGCGGCCCAAGCCACTCAGGCTGTGGAGGGAAAGCAGGAGTAAGGTATAACTATATCATGGGATATTGTCTCTGCCCTGGATTTAGGTTGTGCACTGAAGGAAAACAGGCAGGTCTGGTGTTCAGTCAAAACTCCAGCATTCCGGATTCACATGGACACAAGCTGCTAAGACCCCACCCTTCTTCCAGCTTCTATGCTTCCCATGGCAGAAAAGGGTGAGCACAGAAGGCCCTAGCACTCTGGATAAAATGGTCCTAGACTCTATATCTATACCCTAACCAGGAGGAAGACACAGCCCAGAAGGGTGTGTGCTCCTGGCAAAAACACCTCCTGAGCCAGATGTGGTGTTGTGCACCACAGTCCCAGCTATTCAGGAGTCTGAGACAGGAGGACCACTGGAATCCAGACGTTCAGAGTCAGCCTGGGCAACATAGCAAAACCTCAACTCTTAAAACAAGAAAACGAGCAGGGCATGGTGGCACACACCTGTAATCCCAACAGCTTGGGAGGGTAAGGCAGAACTGCAGGTTCAAAGCCAGACTCAGCAACTTAGTGAGGCTATAAGCAACCTAGTGAGATGCTACCTCAAAATAAAAATAAAAATGGCTGGGGATATGGCTCAGTGGTAAAATGCCCCTGGGTTCAATCCCTGGTTCCCAGAAAAAAAGAAAAAGAAAATGAAGCCCTCCCTCAAATAGCCATGTCACATAAGCTGGTTTGATAGTGGTAGACTTGATTTCATCCTGCCCTTTATCTTGATTAAGTCAGGGCCACAGGAAGTCATCATTCTCCGAACTGTCCTAGGTTCAGAGCTCAAATGTCAAAGGCAGGTGCCTCACACTCCTCTTCTATCACTTGATGCATTAGGTTTTTTTTTTTAAATTATTCCTCACCCCATCCTGCAATCTATGTTTGAAAACAGTACAGATTTTTGTCTATTTTAATTAGAGTACCTAAAACAGTACTACATGTTCAATAAATATTGTTGATGAACATAGCAATTATTGATGAGCACTGGTGTGGGGGACACAGAAATACCAGCTGCCATCCCATTCTGTGACAAGGACTGACATTATATTCCATCCCCACCTCCACCCCTGAGGATGCTCCTTCACTACAAACAGACTCACTTGGCTCCCAGGTTGCCTTTGATGATAGGGGCTGTGACCACACTCTTGCCCTTCATTGGCTGGCTAATCACAGACAGTGGAACTGTGATCCGTGTAGGTAGCTTCCCCTGCAGAGAAAAAGAAATTGGCTTTTGAGGAACAGAAGAAAGGAAGACCACCAAGCATCATTACAGGGAAAAAGAAGTGAGGAGCACTTTCAGTCCCTATTTTTTACCACAGTCCAAATATTCTGAGGTCAGGGCCCAGGCAACCCTACATAAAAGGGTTCACACTGGTAGTAAGGTGTCACCTGGCCTGTTATCATCTTACAATCTTCTTTCATGGGTATAAAACCTGTACCTGAACTACATAGTACAGTGTGTGTTCATTCACTACAGTCCTAGGTTTTGAGCCCCTAGGAGGAGAGGCTTAAGTATCTCAGTATCCCCCAACATATGGTACAGTCCTGGGGACCTAGTAATTATAAGGTGGAACACACATGAGGAAGGAGCGAGAAGCCCAAGAGTTAACACAGAAAGGACACAGCTACCCCCTCACTGGAATGCAGGCTCACTGAGGGGGAACAGACAGACAGGCATGCAGGATAAAGAACAAGTCACATTCTCCAAGTGCTTTCTGTTTTTCCAAGATAAGAGAGGTCAGTTAGGGGACACCAATAATAAACTCAACCAAGTGAAAAGTCCACTAAACTTACCTGCTAAGTCCCAAGAAGAACCTAGATGAAAAAAAGGGTAAAGGCCAATATATTAAGGGTTCTGGGAGGGATTAATGGTCACCGGTTCCCAAACTGCCTGGTTTCTAATGCATGTTTAATAATACAATTTGTTTTGGGCAGTGCTGGGGATGGAACCCAAGGCCTCATGCACATTCCACTGAGCTATACTCCCCAGCCCAGAAATACAATTTCTATGTAGTAAAATCTTAGATAAATTAAATCTAATTTTTAAAAAAAAAATCAAGAGGGGTAGTTGTGTCAGGAGTGGTGGTCCACACCTGTAATCCCAGCAACTCCAGAGACTGAGGCAGGAAGATACCAGGTTCAAGGCCAGCCTGGGCAACTTAGCAATTTAATTCAAAATAAAACACAAAAAGGACCAGGGATGTAGTTCAGTGGTAGAACAATGCCCTGGGTTCAATCTCCAGAACCACCACCAAAAAAAAAAAAAAAAAGAGGGGACAATTGATAAGAAGCTAAGCAAAGACATAGATGGGCATGCATATAATTCTAACTATTTCGGTAGCTAAGGCTGGATTAGCCAGTTATATTTACCTAGACTGAATGTCTGAGTGACACAGGGATATGCCACTGGGTAGGACCTTTTGGTGTCAGGAAGAAGATTCAAGAAGACAAAGGTAGATTGGGTAAGCACGGTTTCCTCACTTCCTTAACTTTACCCTTTGTGATTTGGAAACTTATATAATTATTTTCCCTTAACCACATTACGTAAGGTTTTTTTGGTGGTGTTGTTTAAGAACATGTATATCCGTCTTCCTTCATCACCCTGGCTTTTATCCCAAATTATTAAACTTTTCCTATGTAGCTTGCTTAGAAAAATAAAAACATGTTTTATATCCTCCATAACACTAGAAAGGTGCTCCTTACTCCAAGATCAGAGAAAACACCCATCTAGAAACACGTTGAGGTTGATATAGGGAGTTAGTTCATAATAAACAAATCATTTCAAGTTGGTAAGAAATGGATAAACTGGTTGATGATTTGGGGATAATTTGAAAATATGAAATGAGATCCCTACTTCATGATACAGAATTATGTTTTAAATGGACAATCACTTATACTTTTTTAAACTCATAATTTTATAAAAATAAAATTCTTAGTTATCTTTATAACCCTGGAGAAAGGTAGGCATAGGCACAAAACCTAGAATACGTAAAATGTTAATAAGATTTAATCAATAATATTGTAAATACCTATAAAGTGAGAGGTACCAAATGCAAGGATGAAAGATGACAGACTGAAATATATTCTATACACATAAAAAGGGCCACCTCGAACAATATAAAAAAAAGTCAAATACCTCCCTTCCCTCAAAAACAAGCAAAAATTTCTTTTCCACTAAAGAGCACATGCCAATCTCTATACAATGTATGCTCAACCTCACTCATTATCAGGGAAACAAAACTGAAAAGGAACATAAAGTTAAACAGCCTTCTAACTTGAACCAGCCAGCTCTGGTTAGGGTTGGAGACTTGCTGATGAGAACGATTGTGTGGCCTTTCTGACAACACAAGTAGAGTATCAAAGCCTCCAATTGTGCCTCATTGTGCCTCCTCCTCACAATCTCCACCCTAAATACAAACAACCCAGAAATACATACATATTCAAACACACACATCACAACATTCACAGTGGTACTGGAAGAGTGGAAACTGTATTCTTTCTTTTGGTACTGGGGATTGCATCCAGGGGCACTCAATCACTGAGCCACATCCCCAGTCCCTTTTTATATTTTACTTAGAGAAGAGTCTCACTGAGTTGCTAAACACCCCACTAAGTTGTTGAAACCGACTGAACTCTGAACTGATCCTCTTGCCTCAGGCTCCTGAGCCACAGGGATTACAGGTGTGTGCCACATCGTCTGGCTTGGATATATATTAACACAATCCCTTCTATGAATCACTACATCATCAGAAAGGATGTAGCCAGTATCTCTCTCTGTGGTGTAGAATCTCTAAGACTTCTTTAAAAAAAAAAAAAAAGAAAGAAAGAAAGAGTAAGGGCTCTTGTAGATTTTTTTTTCCTTAAATTATGTGCATATATATGAAAATGCACAGGAAAAGGACTCATAGGATAAATGCTGTGTTACTAATAATAATTAGCAGTTATAAACAAAGAACTGGTAGGGGGATGAAAGAAATTTTACATTTTACTCTATACTGTTAGCACCATTCTTACAATTTTGTGTAAGAACGTATGCATGAACTATACCATTATAAAATATGGTTCATAAAAATACATAAATCCATTTGGATCAAAGAAAAGAATACAGACAGGACTTCTAATTTCCACACCTACAAAGACATTTCTTTGGTCCAATGAGTCTCCTGAGGGATGGGGAGCTAACAACCTTAAGAGATTTCCTGAAGAGAGGGATACTCTTTACCACTGACATTACTCACAGCCTGGGACGTGGACACAACCGTGGTGCTGACGGGGACCTGCCGCACAGTGGGGGCTCCTGTCCCGATGCTGATGGGTGTGTTTGCAGCCCCAGAAGCTACAGCCACAGTCTTGGACACAGCAGCATTCATACTGGGCAAGGATACTGCTGAAGAATGGACAGTTCCAGACCCACTGGCCACTGAGGCCCCTTGCTTGGCATGCGCTGCAACAGTGATGGTCTGGCCTGCTTTGGGAGGCATTACTCCCAGGCCCTGCACGATGCGAATTGTGGCAGCTGGCTTCGCTTCCGAAGAGGCCACTGTATTTTTTCCCTTCTGATCTGCCACACTCACACCAAGGGCTGGCATCAAGCGAAAAGCTGAACTGGAGGGCTCTGCTGGCTTGAGGTCGGGAGTCACTTTGACCACAGTGGTGCCTGCTGGAGCAGATGAAGGAGCATTGGCTGAACTGGCCTTGGCAGGGCTATCAGTTGCATGGACTGGATTGGAAGTGACATGTAAGGTGGCAGAGATGCCTTTGCCTGCAGTACCACCTCCTGTCCCGAAGAGGTCCTGAGTCAATTTTACTGTGGTAACCTGGGACTTAGCCAATGTGGCCATCATGTCCGGTGTGATTCGAAGAACCGTCTGGCCCTTGGCATCTGTGGTGATGGAAGAGGGTGGCAGTCGCAGTACATCCTTACCCTGAATTCGGAAGTTTGTGGCTGTGAGTGGGATGCTGTTGCCTGTCTGGGGCTTCACACCAAGCTGCCCAGTGATGGCCACCTGTATGGGGGAGACACAGCACTAATGAAGGGGTTCATGATGCTAACTGATAACACAATAAAATTAAGCAAACCTCTATTTCATGTATGTTTCATATATCTTTACCTTTTTATTTTGAAAATAATAAACAGGCACAAAAGTAGAGAAGAGCACAGCATACACCCTTCTCCCACCTTCATAAGTAATCACTTTGTATCTTTTCCCACCTTGGGGAGAGAAGGGTAGAAGAGAGGAACTGTAATTTTTGGGGGGGAGTAGACATTGGGGTTTAAACCCAGGGCCTTATCACTAAGCCACACTTACATCCTCAGCCCCTAGGAACTGGAATATTTTAAAGTCTATCCAAGATTGATCATTTTACTAATCAAGACTTATCTATAGGCCAGGGGTTGTGGTTCAGTGGTACAGTGCTTGCCTGGCATGTGTGAGGCACTGGGTTCAATTCTCAGCATCACATATAAATAAACTAAATAACAGTTCATCAACAACTAAATATACTAAAACAAACAAACAAAAAAAGACTTATCTATACAGAAGTTCAATAAATTAGACCAAAAGGAATGAAGGGAAGGAAGGGAGAATAGGGAAGACAGTGGAATGAATCTGACATAATTTCCTGTGTACATGTATGTATATGTATGTGTGTGTGTGTGTGAATATATATATATATATATATATATGAATATACCACAGTGAATCTCAATATTGTGTATATCCACAAGACTGGGATCCTAATTAGAGTGATATCTTCCATGTTTGTATAAATATATCAAAATAGATTCTATTGTCATATATAACTAAAAAGAATAATAAAAATTTTTAAAAAGACTTATCTATATATCCCTAACCTAGGAAAGGACTTAAAAAAAAATTTTAAAAAAATCACAATGCTATCATTACTATTCAACATAATTACATCTGTATATAACAGTATTTCCCCATCAGTCTCAAGTACATTTTATTCTATTTATGGTTGGATCACCTTTATTATGAGAGTAGTAGTGTGGCGAGGTATCTGGCTCTAGAGCCAGACTCTGTGGGTTCATATCAACTCAAAAAGAAAGTCAAATGCTCCATGAGAACCTTCCTCTCTATGGCCCCTCTACTGGACCACTGCCACACAGACATGCCATGACACTGGACATCCCAAATACAAACAACCCTGGCTCTGCTCCATACTGCCCTCCTTGCTTCACTCAATTCCCCTTCACATTCCACTCCAGCCCAGTTCTCAGAAAAGCAAAATTCCTCTAAAAATTACTTATACTCACTAACTCTGCTTCATCATCTTACACTTTTGAAGCCATTCCCAAAAAGCCCCTGGAACTCGTCGCATTTATTCAACTATATACAATGAGTCTCTTCTTACACTCTTTACCACACCCAATATAAGCACTGCTTTCTCCTGCATGAGCACACTTTTCTGTCTGCCTTGCAGTCCCTACACCTCAGTTTTCTTGCATTTTGGTAAATGAGACCACTATCTATCCAGTCACTGCAACCAAAGCCCATGGGGGCCATTTTCAACTCCCTTTTCTTAAGCCACCATGCTTTAGCCATATGTTCATGCTTGCTCACTTGTAATCCAGTTACAATGGCTTTCCTGCTGTTTCTCAAATGTATTCACTTTCCATGCCTAAGTCTGGAATGCTTTATCTCCTAGTCATCATCATAACCATAGCACACCAACTTCATTTGTCTCCCTCAAATTTCATCTCCTCATAGAGGACAACTCCCATCATCGTGGATAAAATTAGCACACTACCATTCTCCAACACTGCCCTGTCTACTGAGCCTCACAGCATCTCTCTTTTGTGTTTTTTTTTTTTTTTTTTTTGTGTGTGTGTGTGTGTGTATGATGCTGGGGATTGAACCCATGGCCTTGTGCTACCAACTGAGCTATATCCCAAGCCCCTCACAGCATCTCTTATTCTCTGACACTGATGTACTTATCTGTCTCCTTGCCCTCCAAGAACACAAATTCCACAAAGGCAGGGCTCAGTCTACTTAACAGACTACTAAATCCCCAATCCTTCACATAGTGCCTGCCACAAGAGACAGTGAACAACTGCTGAATGAAAAGGCTACTTCATTGTTACATAACTCCACTTCATTTATAAAATGAGAATAACAGAAGTTTCTATCACCCTCCAGTGCTTGAGAAACAGACCACTAACATCTATAAAATGCAAGGCATGGTACAGATACACAGGAAGCACTCCTGTCAATATTTCTACTAGTCTGCCAATACAAATGTATTCTATCATTACTGGTGTAAACTGAAAAGCCAATTAGAATATGGCCATGAGAATTTAAATAAGTCCTTGGAGAGTCTCACTAAATCCATAAACTACTACCAAATGCTAAATTATATGGAAAGAAATGGAAGACATCCCTTGAGCATCCACAGAAATTGCAACTGTCTTGAACGGAAACATACCTGAAGAACCTATAAACAAAGAGCCCAAGATGACAAATCTTTTTTCCACAGACATCTGTCTGTTCAGGACCTCCAGCCTGAGGTTTCTGTTTTGGGACAAAAAAAAAAAAAAAAAAAGAGAGAACCACCTGGAGAATTCCACGTACCTGCTTGATGATGTTCTGTCCTGTAACATTTTGAATGACTGCAGTTGTAGAGGCACTTGGAGCCGAGCTCCCAGGGGAACTTGTGGCTGGCTTGCTCACAGGGCTGGCTGCAGCAGGGAGACTTGTCACCGTAAGCCCTGTCTGCATGGGTCCAGGCCGCTGTACACTGGGTGCCCCAGTTTGCGCTTTGATTGGAACAGTGGCCATGACTGCCTGTTCAAGGTGTGAGGCAGAGAGGTCAATTAGACCCTGAGATGGAAATCAGCACTCCAAGGCAGGATCTCCCCATGTGTCACCACCCAAGAATGTTCTTCTAAAAGTCCTACTACTCTCTCAGTGTTCAAGGCTCAACACTCTCTGAAACAGACACTGCAAATTTCCTGTATTTGTATAAAACACTTTAATTTTCAGAACATCTTTACATTTAGCATCTGGTTATTCCTACATATTCAGGGCATATATTCTTTTATATACAATAAGAGAAAAATGAAGTAAAGAGGATAAAAATCTTCTGTAAAATCATACAGATAGTCATTGGGATACCCAAGACACATGGCTAAGACACAATGGAAGGAGCCTGAGATTTAAACTAAAAGGTTTATTAGATTTATTTCCCACCTCTACAAGGGTACTATTGTTTGAACGATGGGAAAATTACTGAACTTCTCTGAAGGTCTGATTTCCAACATGTAAAACAGTATCTAAAAATGCTTACATGGTTTTAAACATAAAATGAGTTATCTTAGTGAACTTTATCCTCAGGAACAACAATCTATGATCCCCTGGTCCTTCTCCAGACTTTGACCATTTGACTCATCAGCCTACCTCAGTCAGTCCACAGTCCTGTTTCCCAGTGACCTACAGTTTCCATTTACCTGGGGTACAACTTTGGTCTGTGTGGCAGTGGCTGGCACCCGGATCTGTGGTCCTGGTGGCATCTGTGGCAGTGTCTGTGCTGGTCCTGCTGACTGCTGTGGGACAGCAGGAAGGCTAGGTTGAGCCACCACCCGCACCTGGGGCAGTCCAGCTGAGCCAGAGTGGCTTACAACCCGGGCAGCAGCCTGTGAACTGGGTGGAGTCTGGCTGGAAGCTGGGGATAGCATTGTTCCTAGCTGTGGCATTGTTGGTGAGGACACCAGAAGGACCCTATGAGGAACATCAGGGAAACAAAAATAAGAATTTAAGTGGTGACACACACTTGTAATTCCAGCTACTCAGGAAGCTGAGACAGGAGGATGAAAAGTTTTGAGTCTAGCATGGGCAACTCAGCAATACCCTACCTCAAAAACAAAAGTTTTCAAAAAGGGGTGGGGATATAGCTCATATAATGCTCCTGAATTCCATCTCCAATAGCCCCAAACACTCACACACACAAAGAAAACAACCTTAGAACATGCATACAAGAGGATTTTGGAGGGGAAAATATAGAAACAAAACAGAGGCACTTACCCTGAACTAGACTTAGCTGGTTCTGAGACAGAAGTAGAGCCACTTTTGTTCACTGATGACACAGGTGGAGGGGAAATTGGGGTGGTAGGCAATGCTGGTGTGGTGGGGGTTACAGGAGTTACTGGGGTGGGTGGCATACTAGAGTCACTGAGACTCATCTGGCTTTGCTCAGAAGGTCCACTGCTGAGGACTTTTAATGAAGTCTCCTTGCTATTGGACTTCTAGAAAAGATGAGAAAGGGAAATTTACCACAGGTGTCATAAAGGTTCCAGAAAGGAAGGCGTGGGTGGACTCTTCGGCTCCTGATGCACAGCATTAAGTACCTAGACCTAGCCTCAGGATTCTCAAGAGGGTTCTTCATGAGAGGGTTCTTCATGAGATCACTTACCACCTTGGATGGGGGCTTGGGTTTTTGCTGAAGGGCTTTTCTGGCTTTAGCCGCAGCTGCTTGTGCTTGGTGAATCCGCTCTATAAACAAAAGTGTGAAGCTTCAGCAAGATTTGGATCTTAGTATATTAAGGGGGTGGGAGTGGGGGGGGGTAGTTTGCTAAAACCCAAGGCCTTGCTGGTGTTAAGACCCTGCCTCCATAATCCTATTCTACCTGAATGCCAATGAAAAGAATGATGGAACGGGGACAGAAAGTCAGAATCATCACTGGTCTACTTGGACACACTCCCCAGAAGCCTCACACACCAAACTCTTCTTCGCTCCGGTCCCGATGCAGGTAGATCCACAGCTTCCGTCCTATGTCATATTTCACACAAGGATCTTTTTCATAATGTAGTCGATCCAGGGCACCACTCACTACTGTGTTGACCTGAGAACAGAGAAAAGGGAAGTAAGGGTCAGGCCAGAGCCAGATAATAGAAGCTGTTTGGAATCCAGAGAAAAATCCCTAGATGATTCATAGCTGACGATATAACAGACTATATCTCAGTCTAGCTATGTCTTCTTAGTGGCTCACCAAATCACCTGGCAAAACAAAAAATGCTATAAATTCCTGAGACAGTGACTATAGCAACTTTTCTTTTACTATAACCTAAAGGAAAACCTAGAGCTGCTTTTGTGCTTCACTGACAGGGGTTTTGGTCATCACTGTGTGCATTTTTCAAGTTCTTTTTTTTTTCCTTTCTTCATTTAGTTGTGTTTTTGCTTTTGAGACAGGTTCTCACTGTGTTGCCCAGGCTGGCCTCAAACTCACAATCCTCCTGCCTCAGCCTCGTGATTAGTTGAGATTATAGGAATAACACTGCATTTGTTTTCGGGGGGGGGGGGGGGTTAATAATCAGGGATTGAACTCAGAGGTGCTTAACCACTGAACCACATCCCCAGCCCATTTTTATTTTTTTACTTTGAGATAAGGTCTCACTAAGTTGCTTAGGGCCTCTCTGAGTTGCTGAGGCTGGCTCTGAACTTAGTGATCCTCCTATGTTTCCTAATAAGTTTTCCTTCTTTTTTTTAAAAAATATTTTTTAGTTATACATGGACACAATAGCTTCGTTTATTAATTTATTTTCATGTGGTGCTAAGGATAGAACCCAGTGCCTCACACGTGCTGAGGCAAATGATCTACCACTGAGTCACAACCCCAGCTCTCTAACAAGTTTTCTGAAATCCATTCTGAAAGAAAGCAAAGCAAAGTGTTTCTCCAACTTACCTGAGTGCTGGTAACATCTGGTGCAAGAAACTGGGAGTCCTTGAGCAGTTCGCAGATCTCTGCCCTCGTACCTTCTCCATTAGGCAGCCGAGCTGCTGCATCCCGAACTGATAACATTAGGAAATGCAAAGCCCAAGAGTCAAGCAATATCCCCCTACTTGCTCTAGTGGGGTGATGCTCCCTGCAGTTAGTGCTCTTCAGCCTCCCAACTCAGCATCAGGCACACTGACCCCTAGTGGCTGAAAGCTCTGCCACTGGTATTTCCTACACACTTTCACAGAGGCAAGAATAAAGTCCACAGATACCTTAGAATTCAGTGGGTCCATGAATTCAGGTAAGAAAAATTTATCTTTCACTGAAATTTAGAATCTCCTTTGATTATAAACACAAGATAATAAACCATGTATTGGCAGTGCTGCGATGTTGTAAGAGAAATGAAATATTTTCATATTATAAATGTCAAACACATCTCCATATCTGGAAGTTACAGATATATTTATAAGACCTGTTGCTAGATCCTGTCAATTAAAATAAAAACTCATATTTCTACACATTGTTTTAATTGTTTTGATAACTATTTCAATATGATTGGCTTCTTTATAACTAAGCATTTAATGTATATTTAGAATTAGTATAACTATGGGAAGGGATCCATGAGTTTCACCAGACTGCCAAAGGGATTCATGGCACAACAAAATCTTTAAGGAAGCAAAGTGATATAGTTAAACCTATTCAGCTGGCCTCTGAGCACTTCCTAAATGAACATAAATAACAGCACACCTTCAGAAAAGAACAGTGATTCTTGCCACCAGTCTCTAAGAGCAGAATCCCCCCCTTCATTTCCCAATTCAAAGCTTCCAAATGCTATGCCTGACTTACCCCAGGGTGGAGGAGGCGGGTGGGGGGTATGCAAGGAGGACAGAGATGATTTGAGAAAAGATTCAGAATGAAAAAATAAATCACCACATACCAAGAGACAGGATGGTGACATAGGCAGGCCGGTCAGAGCGCAGAAGGGAATGTTCCCGAGCTTTGTTGAGGGAAGTCTCCTTGTCAAACACACCCTTCACTGGCCCCACCACAGACTCAAAGCCATGCATGCGAAAGGTGAATGCTTTATGGGGTTGGCTGTATCTGTAACGCTCCTACACAGAGAAAAGGGAGAAGGCTTCTGAGTCAGAATCAGTGGAGTTCACTCTAGATCCACATGGGGAGATTAAAATGGAAATGGAATGAAAAATTCCCCCATGGATGATGAGCCAACTTCAGTGAGAAAAGGATGGTCCTCAGAACTGGTTATTGAGCAAAGGATGAAGAAATAAAATGCATTTTGCTAAAGAAATCATCAAAGTAGTTTGTTTCTCTCTCTCTCTCTCTCTCTCTCTCTCTCTATTTTTTTTTTTTTTGCCCTCCTTAGGTATATTAGGCAGGTGAGAATCAGCAAATTCTTATGATCTCTCAGGCTCATTACAGCTCTAACAGACTAAAACTTTCCCCACATCACTTCTGCCGCCCCTATGCCCCCACCACAATCAATCCTAACCAACAGAATATCCACGGTGAAGGTATGAATTTCCTCCATGAAGGTAGACTCAAGAGTCAGGCTCAGCACTTCAATCTACAGGGCCTCACAGAGACAGACTTTATCTTCTCCATATTTCTTACCTGCTCCTGAAAAACCCGTTTCTCCTCCCCAGTGCTGGGCCGCACCACATAGTCAGTTCTTCTGAAACATAAAGAATTTTGTCTTAACTCTGACTTACTAGCAGATGGGTCACAGATGGGTCCTTTCTTTAACACCCAGAACCATTCTCTTTGAAACACAAAAAAAATGTCCCTTTAGATGTACTCAACTCTTACAAACTCCACTTTCCAGCTCCTACCAAGTAACTCTTGATGGTATTTCCAAAAATTACTTGATACTTAGAAATCCAGAAAAGTACTGGGCAGGTGGAAATTAAGCTGATATCTTGCTGCTAAATCCAATTTAATGGCAATGAAAAATGTTAGATAGCAAGGGTATATTTCCTGGCTCACAGGAAACTTACAAATGCTTGTACTACCCCCACTTCTACTAAATGCACAGGCTTAGGGTGCAGTTCATGGGTAGAGTACTGGCCTAAGATGCATGAGGCCCTAGGTTCAATCCTCAATGCTGCAAAAAAAAAAAAAAAAAAAAAAAAAAAATAACTGCAGAACCACACCAGACAGGAAAGAGCAATATGAGGGGAGTCACTCACGGGATGTAAATTCTAGTGAATTCCTGTCACTAACCCTCAACAAATAATGTAACCTCATAACCCAACTTCTTTACAGAAATGAGGAGGTTGGGGGGCTGAGGTTGTGGCTCAATGGTAGAGTGCTTGCCTAGCATGCTTGCGGCACTGGGTTTGATTCTTAGCACCACATAAATGTAAAATAAAAGATATTGTGTCCACCTAAAACTAAAAACTAAATATTAAAAAAAAAATTAAAAAAAAAAAGAAAAGAAATGAGGAGGATGGGTTAGATAACTCATTCTCAAATGGGAAACCCAGGAGGACAGCATGTGGAAAATAGTATGTTCACATATAAGGTAGATCAAATCCCCTCAGACTCTACTGCACATCCCCTCCTAGCATCAAGAACTCCTGGGGCTAAGGTTGGGGCTCGGTGATACAGTACTTGTCTGGCACATGTGAGGCACTGGGTTCGATCCTCAGCACCACATAAAAATAAATAAATAAAACAAAGGTCTTATATCCATCTACAACTAAAATAAACATTTAAAAAAGAAAGAACTCCTTCCACAGGGAGCCATTCATTTCAATGGATATATATTGCCCTCGTTAGGTATATTAGGCAGGTGAGAATCAGCAAATTCTTATGATCTCTCAGGCCCATTACAGCTCTAACAGACTAAGACATGTAAGTACCAGGAATCATAGTTTCATGGGACACCACCCACCATTAGAGTGCTATACTCACACCCGAGGGACAGGTGTTGTAGCATCTGAGCTGTCTTCATTTTCTTGCTGGAGAAAAGGAGAACATTAACAGGTAAATGGACTGGAGAATTTTCACTAATTTGAGAGTTCTAGAAACCAAAAGGGGAAGAGTTGGTATTTTGAAAAATTATACCTTACAAAAGGCCTGGTCTTTGGTCTCTAGCCACAGCTGGAAGAGCGCAGCTAATTCCTTTTCATTATCTTGAGACTGGCCTATAAGAAAGGGGGGAAAAGAAGACAAAAATCTAAGGTATAACTCAGAATCCCCCTTTCTCTTTACCTTCTTAATCTATGACAAAGAGAGAATACATTAGGACTGAAGCCAAGATCCTTAGCACTGCCTTTCCCTTCACAGACTATACCATCACTGCTACATGTCAGCTCCTTAGACAATTCACTCAACAGGTATTTGCTGAGTAACCACTGTGTGCCAGGTACTACCTGTGGAGAAGCTGGGGTCATCCAGTGAATTCAGTCTCTGCCCTCAAGAAGTTTATAGTAAAGTGAGAAAAGAGCATATATTAAATAAACCCAATATGGAAAGTGGTAGGCATCACATGTTATGAAAACTTACAACAGGGAATGGCTAGTGAGCCACAAAGGCATTCTACACACTGGCACAGAAATCAGAAGCCTAAGATAGGAGAAGGAAAAAAAAAAAGGACTCCTCCTGGTCTGCCTAGAAAAGAAAATCACTGTCAGTGCCCTTCTCTCATTTGTTCAGAGTCCTCCTGAAGCTCTTGACACATAATGTATCTTAATCTCTTAACCAGGCTAGACTAGAAGTCACCATTAATCAGCATCATCCAGGTCTGCTTGTGAGAGAATGTCCCTGCGCTTCCCCAAAAGGTCACATCCACCAAGATGCTTCTCTTTGATTTCAGTAGTTGGCATACAATACCACCAATACCCATCTCCAGGAACCTTTGTGCTTCCAGAAATGCTACTGCAAAACCAGGTAGTTCTATCGCCCATCTTTTTCTCCTGTTTGGTGGTTCTTATATATTTTAGATATTAGCCCTTTATCACATATATGGTTTTCAGGTATTTTCTGAGAGAAAATTGGTTCTCCCATGATTCTTAACTATAGGGAGGCTGACTGCTCATTCTCTCATAGCCATGTCCTTCAATGAAGTCAGGAGACAGAGGTGAGATTCTTCAAAGATTTCAGACATTTCTCCTAGTTTTTTTTTTAAATTTTTTTTTTTTTTAGTTGTAGATGGACACAATATCTTTCATTTTATTTATTTATTTTTATGTGATGCTGAGGATCAAACCCAGGGTTTTGTACATGCTAGGCAAGCAAGCCCTCTCCTAGTTCTTTTTAGAAAAATAAGAACAAAAGCCTGTTCCTAAAACACAGAACCCAGAAATAAACCCACGCATATAGTCAATTCACTTTTGGCCAGGGTGTTAAGAACATTCAATGAGGTAAAGACAGTCAGCAAAAAGCAGTGTTGGGGAAACTGGATATCCACATTTAATAAAAGAATGAAATTAGATTCTTCCATCATACTATATGCAAAAACCAATGGTTTAATCATTTAAACATGTGGCCTGAAACTATAAAACTCTTATGAGAAAACAGCAGAAAGCTCCATGAGATTAGTCTTGACTTTTTTGATATGATACCAAAAGCATAGGCAACAAAAGCAAAAACAAGTAAATAGGATTACAGGAAACTAGAAAGCTTCTGCATAGCATAGAAATAATCAACAGAGGGAAAAGCCAAGTTACAGAATAGAAGGGGAATAACTGCAAACGATATATGTGATAAAGGGCCAAAACATCTAAATTATATAAGGAATATCTACAAATCAATGATAAGAAAATCACCAACATGATTTAAAAAGGAACAAAGAACCTGAATAGACAATTCTTATATTTCTATTCCAAAGAAGAAATATGAATGGCCAACAGGTACATGAAAAGGTGCTCAATATCACTAATCATCAAGGAACTTCAAATCAAAAGCACTACTGAGATATCAGCTCACACTTATTAGGATGGCTACTGTTAAAAAAGACAAGAAAAGAAAAAAATAGAGGGAAGAATATGGAGAAAAGAGAAACCTTATGCACTGTTGGTAGGAATGTAAAATGGTACAGTAACCATGAAAAATAGTATAGAAGCTCCTCAAAAAAATTAAAAACAGACCTACCATATGGTCAAGCAATCCCATTTCTAATTATAAGGGAAAAAAAAAAAACCTGAAATCAGGATCTCAAACACATATCTGCACTCCAATGTTCACTGCAGCATTATTCACAATAGCCAAGATATGAAAACAACCCTAATGTTCATCAGTGGATGAATGAATAAATATGCTATAACATAAAATGGAGTATTATTCAGTCTTAGAAAATAGGAAATCCTGCCATTTGCAACATGGATAAACCTAACGGACACTATGTTAAGTGAAATAAATTAAAGGACAAATTTATTTCACTTAACACTTATACAGGGTGCCTCAAATGCTCAAAGTCCCAGAAACAGAGAACAGAATTGATAGTTACCAGAGCAGGAGTAGTAAAATCAAAGTAGGGGAATACCTGCTCCAAAGGTATGAAGTTTCCATTATGAAAGATGAATAAGTTCTAGAGACCTGCTGTAGGACTTAGTTGTGTACTTAATGAAACTGTACTGTGCCACTTCAAAATTTATTAAGAAGATGAATGTCATGTTAATGTTCTTGCCAGAAAAAGGGGGAAGGGAGATACAGAAGTTTGAAAGGTCTATCTTAACTGTGGGGATGGTTCCCAGGTATATGCGTGTATGTCCAAACTCATCAAATTACATACATTAAATAAGCAGTTTTTAATGTATCAATTACACATCAATAAAGCTGGGGGGAAGCCTGTTCCCTGAGGCTTTTGCTCTCCACCTGTACACCCCAATCCCCACTCCTGCGGTTTTGCATCTAGTCCTTTCTTCTCACAGGAACTGGCTCAACCTCTCTCACTACTCCACACCCTCCACTATGAGGAAGACCCACATCCACATGAGCAGATATCCAATATCCTAACCTCTCAGTTGGTGAAATCTCCTCCTCTACCATAACCTCCTCCCTCCACTCCACTCCACTCCACTCCACTCCACTCCACTCAATCATTCCCACAAGCACAATTGGACTCTGCCAGTTCCTAAAGCTGCTCTATTTTCAAAATGCCTACTTCAGTGTTTCTCAACTGGGGTTGCATTTTGAAGAATTACCTGGAAACTTTTGAAAATATCAAAGTTCAGACCCCATCCCAACCATTTAATTAGAATCCCTGTGGTAAGGTCCAGGAACAGATATTTTTTTAAAAATTCCACTGACCATAGTACATAGCCAGTCAGGATGAAGAACCCCCACTCTGCTTTCTAAACATAATGGCCTGGATTTCACCTTGCCCGTTTACTCCCATGAAAGCTTCACTTGGACCCAGCAGGACAGTTCCCAATGACACCTCTACTTCTCAGCTGCCACTGGCCCAGATCTCTCTCTCTTTTCTCTCCATTCAGTGCAGATTCCTGGTCCACTGTTTCAGTAATATGCTTCCCAACAGAGTAATACTTTTACCTCTGCCCTTTGATTTTCTGCATCATTTCAATCTAGCAAAATTCAAATTCTGAACTACCCACATTCTCCATGCTTCAAATTAAGCAGCTGAGGACTGCTAGAGGAAAAAGTGCACAAACAGGCAGAAGAAGGCCAAAGAGGTGAACAATGAGCAGCCTCCCAGGGCAGCACTCATGACTTCCTAGCTATCCTATGTCATCTGTGGTCACACTGCTTCACACAATGACCATCTCCTACTCTCCTCAGACTTCCCTTCTCATCAGCAACAATCTCACCTCTCTCACCTTCTACTTTACACTGAAAATGTCAACAGACCAAACTTCCTACAAAGACCAATCAACCCACTGCTATATATCCATTATTTCCTTCTTTCCTCCTGCTAGTTAGGAAGAAATGTGCTAGCTCCTGCCACACAGAGCTCACTGTCTTCCCACTTCCCAGGAATATATGTAATGCATTTTCCCTTCTCTCTTTCACGTTCAATCTTCTCCTCAAAGTCCACAGTACCCTTCCCATCAACATTTAAACTTACTCAAGGTTTCTCCCATTTAAAATTCCTCTATTGGCCACAAATCTCCCTTACTATCCTGCCCTTGCCCAGCCAAATCTCTAGAAATTCACTGGCTCTTTATTCAGTGATGTGCTGGTAAATTTTTAACTGGTTATAGGAAAGCGGGCCCTGACTGGTCACATTTACAGATTCCCATGGTGTACACCAATACATGGCAAACTAGCCACCTGCTTTTGTAAATATATTTTTGTAGAAAATATCCCCACCTGTTCATTCCCCTACTGTCTGGAAGCTGAGCATTATAATGGCAGAGTTGAGGGGTAATAACAGAAAGCATCTATTCCACAAGCTTAAAGTACTTATTATCTGGTCTTATAAGGACAGTTTGCAGAGCCAGTGTAAATATTATCACTATGGTTGACTCCAGCCACCACCTGAAGACCATAGGCACAGCAGCACCATGAATCACCTTCAACTCACCTCATCCTTTCACTAAGGATTCACTATTCACTAAAATTTTTGCAATCTGTTCCATATTTACAATCTTTACCCTACTGAATCTTTTAATCACTTGGCTCCCAAGAGTCAACAATCTCAGAATTTTCTTCCTGTCTCTGTAGCCATGTCCTCTCTACATGAGCTGCATTCAGCTGTCTCTACTGTGGAGTTTCTCAAGGCTTAGTCCTCAACCCTCTTTTTTCCTCACTTGACACTTCCTCCCTAGATGACAGCCTCATCTGTGCCCTTCTGATATAGACAGCAAACACTCTGGGAATTTCAGTAGAAAACCAATACTGAATTGAATTATTCTCTTATCACCATCACCAGGTAACAGCCAATAGAGTAAGCAGAACTTTATAAATTTAAAATAAAAGGACACTGTTCTTTAGAAACTGCTTTACTTGGGGCAGTCCTATATCTCACTGCACATCATCCTTAATAAAAAAGCCCATTTTTAATGAATAAAAATAACTATAGTACAAATGAATCCCACACCATTGGTATGCTTAATATAAATGCTGATGCTACTATAAAATACAACAGCAGATTTGAATGTCACCATCCATAAGCTGTATCATAATAAAAAGACTATTCCATATTACTCAGCAATAAAAGAGAATAAACTCATGGCATTTACAGGTAAATGGATGGAGTTAGAGAAGATAATGCTAAGTGAAGTTAGCCAATCCCAAAAAACCAAACGCCGAATGTTTTCTTTGATATAAGGAGGCTAATTCATAACGGGATAGGGAGCAGGAGCATGGGAGGAATAGATGAACTCTAGATAGAGCAGACAGGTTGGAGGGGAAGGGAGGGGGCATGGGGTAATTAATAATGGTGGAATGTGATGATCACTATTATCCAAAATACAGGTATGAAGACACGAATTGGTGTGAATATTCTATGTATACAACCAGAAATATGAAAAATTATGCTCTATATTTGTAATAAGAATTGTAATGCATTTTGCAGTCATATACAAATAAAAATAATAATAAAAATTAAAAAAAATAAAAAGATTATTCCATTTCAGCTTTGGGAGCAAAGTCCAAATGGGGGTGGAGATGAAACCTATACTTTAAGAGTACAGGGGTCTTAAAGAATTCCTTCACAGACAAAAATAAAGTTGAATATTACCCTTTTGCCAATCTCCTGCACTATATTGACTAGAATACATAAGAAGCTGGAGAGGACAGGAGAAAGGTAGGTAATACAAATTACTTACCAAGCAATTTCCACTGCTGGGTTTTCTCTTTGAATTCGACAAATGGAGAGAAACTGGAAGGAACAGCTGCAAGAAATAAATCACATGAACCAACCACACAGGTGATAGAATGTGTTAAACTCAGGACAAAAGGCTACATATCCCTGAGCTCTGAAAGATTCTGAGAACTTTATGGTGTAGCAAAAGACATGGTATGATGCAAAGGCAAAATAGACCAAACAAGAATTTAGACAAAAATTTCTCTACAAATTTGTCTAAGAATTTAGACAAAAAAAGAAAAACACTGACCCTTCAAAAAAATGACCTTACCTCGGCTTTCTCCAGCAAGATACTGGAGGGCAGGCAATACCAACTCAGCCCAGTTGGGGGCTGCAGAGAACCAGCTGTTGAGGGAGCTGGCTGGAGATGACTGCCAATCCAAAACTCTTTCCTCCAGCTGGCGAGGAGTAAAGGAAAATAGAAGCCAGTTAAATTCTCTCTATATCAGCAATTCAAGACATGCTAGTGCAAGCTGAGTCGGTTTGCTCAAGTTACCCAAGTCCCAGAGCAAGCTGGCTGCAGAGCTTTGGGAGGAATCCCCTCAAGCTAGGGATTCCAATAATTTCAAAACTTCAGTGAATAGGACTGGGGTAATGGCTCAGTGGTAGAGCACTTGCCTAGCACGTGTGAGGCACTGGGTTCAATCCTCAGCACCACATAAAAATAAATAAACGAAATAAAGGTATTTTGTCCATCTACCAAAAAAAAAAAAAAAAAAAAAAAAACTTCGATGTACATCTGACTTTTCCAAAACTCTTACCATAGGAAGGCTAGCTTGATTCTCCAGAAGCAAGATCTCTAATAGAAGAGAGAAAAAACTGGAAGAAATCTCATTGATTCCAAGGCAAGGCTTGAGGTCTTCCAGGGGCCTAATGAGAGAAGAATAATATAAGAACAACCACAAAGACCAAAAACACATTCTAAATTTGTTCAAGTCCCCCAAACTTCCTAGCAGTTATAAAAGCTCAAGAAAGGGACACACAATACATTTTCCTAACAGGATCCCTGACACTCAGAGCCAACTCACACATGCCTCAAAGGAACGGTTATAGCCTCTAGCTTAATCTCCAAACTTAAACCTTAACACCATGTAATCTATTGCTCACTTACTCTTCCTTGATAGAAGGTATTGCCAGTGGAGATGGGGCCTGTGAGAGAGGTGGGACCCCTTCAGTGTTGCTCAAAGTTTCAGCCAGATCCTCTGCCTCTGATTTAATCAGCTTTATTTTCTTCTTTTTCTTTTCCTCTTTTTCCTTCACCTTTTTTTTAAGGACAGCCAAGTCATATAAGGCTGGGAAGAATAAGGAACATAAGTCACTGAACTGCTTCTTCTATATTAAGAAATTAGGGGTCTTTATCTGCGTATTTCCTCAAACCCAACAAAGAAAAGTCTTAGTAATTTACTAAGATATTTAGATGTTTTTAAGACAAAATGGAATGAGTGATTTACAGCTTAATTTTAACATCTAATGATACTTTGTATTAATTTTGAATTCCTAAGGGCAGTAACAAAGCAAAAGGTACCAGCATGAAAGATGTGGATTCATTTATTTTTGCCACATGTAGACAAACTCATACAATTTAACACCAAAGTCAGGTGAAAACCATCCGGAGGAAGAGACCTATAGTCCTTTACCTGCTAGTGAGCCCTTCCTGCCAGCATTTACTCGAGTCATGATGTCACTGAGGGTCAGGTCCCCTGTCAAAAGGTCCGGGTGATCCTAGATGTGATATTCAGAGATTTAGTTATGGCCCAGAAAGGAAGCAAAAACTGAAGGTGACTGTGCCAATTTACCTAACAACCAGATGTCCCAGACACCTGAGGAAATCATGTTGAATTAAAACTACACAGAGATAAAAACCATTGCTCTTCATAATAGTACACAGGGGAAACTTTGGTGTTCTGTTGCACAGCATTTACAATTCATACAGCTCTTCTGCATTCCTTATCTCATGTGCTCTTCAAGCAGTCTTCCTAATATTGTTAGTATTTAAAATGTCTGAAAAAAGCATTCAGAGGAGTTAAGGGATCTGCTCAATGTTCTGACTTCCAATGTAGGACTCTTCTTATCTCACTGCTCTGCCCAGACTACCCTCTTTTCTCCATCATACTCTCTGGCTTGATTTAGTTGAGTGGGATATCGGAAATAGTAAAAAGTACGGAGAGAAAAGGGTCTGGCTCTCAGCTCTAGCACTTACTGGCTGTTTGACTGAAGACAAACTCCTTAACCTTGCTGAGCACTGAAGACATGGAGACAATTCATTCACATACCAAACAGTGTGGCAAAGCTTGAAGCTTGCCTTATAAAGCCAAAACACCTGTCATCACCTCTTATCTCTGATGCTAATTAGCCTCTCTAATTGCTCCCATCCTCTAACGATAACAGAGAAGCACAAAAGAGGTGGTGACTACCAGCATCCTCCTCAGGATAACCATGCCAAAGAGAGTCAACTGAAAACCACAACTGGCCACATCCATCCCAATCTTACTGGTTGATGTTTCCGCTTCTCATGGTGCTTCTTTAACATTATCTTCAGGTCACTGTCCCCCAGTTCTATTTTATCTGAGAGAAAATGAACCAAACCACATGGACTAGGTCATTCACTACAACAGTGCTCTAATTTAAATCTTCCTGGTCACTTGTGACATTCAAAAGTAAGATAATCCTCTGGTTTCCCTTTTGATTCCTGTATACTACAAGTACCAAAAACCTTTATTCAGTCACTGTCAGCACTTCTCCTTTCCTTTTCTTTTAAAATGATTTTGTTACTTGGCTGATCTAAAAGCACATTTAAGCTTCATAACATTTTTGATTCCTATTCCAAATTCAAATTCTTCTCCAATTTCAGAGACATTCAAAGGAATTGCTAAAGCTCTGGTTATCTCTTTTGTGCTATGACTGAATTATTATTTCAAAATTCTGCTTTCTATATCCCAAAACACTAGCTGATCAGCTCTGGACAATTGTTTTTTGTTTTTTTGTTTTTAAATGAAAGAAGGTCTACCTCTAGATATAAAAAAAGCAGAATGGTACAAAAACTTATCCCCATCACCTTCATTTAAGGAGCACTGCTTGTTTTGGGGCAGGCAGGAATCTAGACACTACCTCCCTTTAAGGAGTTCTCACTTCTGCACTGTGATTTCCTAGGATAGCAATGGCATCAGCTCAGTTCTCACCTGTAGTTTTCATATCCGTAGTGGAAAGCGTGGGCACCACCCTCAGGGGCACCGCAGGACTAGGAGAACGCGCTGGAGAGCTCGGAAGCCATGAGCTGAGATCTTCAAAAGAAAATTTTTCTTGTAAATCCAACGTGGCTGTGGACTCCAATAGGGGAGATTGGGTAAGTGGCCATTTGGGTTCAACAGGGCTAAGCCAACAACATGGAGGCCAGGGTTCCACATTCCTTTCTGACCCTTCCCCAGATGAGCTGGAGCACACTTAGGTCATTTAAACGGCTCTTCCAGGAAGAGAGACTTCAACAGAGTGATGGGGTCGCATTGCAGCAGGCCAACAGTCACTACTACTCTCCTGTAAGGGGAAAAGCAGTTCTCTCAAGTGGCACAATGGCACCAGAAGGCCTACTGTGGAGAGACCCTGCCCTGCAGGGATTAATCCAAGTGGTTCTCACTAACTCAAGTGCCACATAAGCACAGAGTAAAAAGGGCATGGAGTCACTCTCACCTGATAGCAGTGTCTCAGTGACTCAAAGACCAAGGGCTAATGAGTCCCACTATCCACCCCCCAGACAAGACAACTCATAAAGGACTTCTTTACCAAGGGGATAAATGGGCTACCACTGGCTCCAATGCCCCAGCTAACCCAAGTGCCCAAAGACACTCACCCTCTTCATCAGAGGATGGGGCAGTGTCGCCACACTCCTCCTTCACTTCCCTCAAGACCTTCAAGTAGCGCTGCTGGGTCCGCCACTCCCGCTCCTCAGGGCTTCGGGATGGTGAAGGACGCTTCTGCCTGAAGGGAAGGGTTGGGCCACTCCTTCGGGCCATCTCCAGTAAGTCCTAGGCAGAAAATTAAATGGGAATACAAGTGATCATCAAATATTTAACATACACTGTATACTCCGTAAGGCTACATTTCAGGTTTAATTCCCCACTCCATCACAGAGAAAGATGCAGATACATGAATATGTTCAAATAAAAATGACCCATATTAATTACAGGTTGAGCATTCCTAATCCAAAATCCATAATCGAAAGTGCTCCAAAATCCAAAACTTTATGAGTGCATGACACTACAAGTGGAAAATTCTATACCTGCCCTCATATAACAGGCTGAAGTCAAAACAAAAACGTACTAAAAACAGTATATAAATTACCTTTAAGCTATGTACATAAGGTATATTTGAAATGGATGAATTCATGTTTAGACTTGGGTCCCATACCCAAGATATCAATATGTGTATGCAAATATTCCAAAATCCAAAAAAAGTAAATAAAATCTGAAATCCAAAACACATCTAGTTCCAAGGACTTCAGATAAGGATTACTCAACCTAAATTAATGAAAAAAATCCCAAATCTGAACACTGAATTGCTCCACAGAAAATGAATACTTATGCTATATCCAAATATTTCTATACTTAAGTTCAAAAAACCACTTAAAGAACTCAGAACAACTTTGCCTCTGAGAATTACCTGGCTGGAAAAGACCCAGAGGCCACTGAGCTTTATGTTCTACAGGTCCATCACAGCAGAGGCCTTGTGTACACTTGCACATCAATTCCAGAGCATCCTAGTTTTCCTCAATAACCCATGATGAATCTGAAATCCATTTGTTTATCTTAGTAAATATGAAAGCTACTATATTTCATTAATTTTAGGAAGCACTTACTGTTTCATGTTTTAACATCTCTGAAATCAAAACACATTATAAAACTGATAAGGAAAAAAAAGACATAGCTGGGAAGGGAAAAGGGAAAATAAAAAGACACAACTTAAATGTATTGTAGCTTAATTGGTAGCATTTTTTTCTTAGTGGTTATCATCTGTGTTTTGCCTCTGAACCATTTCTTGATGCATATACTGTGCATATACTGCCCATATTTTATATTCCGTTCCCAGCATTACTTACGCTCCGGGAAGCAAGAATCTGCTTTAGCAGTCGATGGAAATACTGCTGCTGAGAGTTGAGGTATCGCTTGTACTGTGACTTGAAGCATAGCTGTCGATACTTGACCACCTCAGGGTTAAAGTGTCCATCTTAAAAAAATAGAGATACAACTATATACATACCAGTCAACACATTTAATGGGTGTTTAAGATGTAGTTGTAGCACAGAACTAAAGGGCATTCAAGAGAATCAGACAAGAACAAGAAGTAAAAGAACGCAGAAAATGATAGCTCAGTTAAGACTGATAATCACAAAAACCATGCAACACAACTGAAATCAGCAAAACCAGCACACTGAAACATGTCACTACTTAAGACTAAAATATAGAGAAATGTCTGCCCTGACATCCCTGTGTCCTTACCAGACTACCCCACTATTTGGAGGAAGCATCTCATCCTTATATAACCTCTCTAAATCAACCAAGTTTCTCTCCCTCTATTCTACAGGAGAGGACAATGTACTTCTACTTGAGACTCCAGCTTCAGTAAAGAAAACCTCTGCCAACCACAGAGGGGAAATCCTTTTTAAGTTAATAATGTGATGGGAGGGAATATGCCCAGGAGTGAAGTACGCCTATGATCCCAGCTACCTGGGAGACTAAGATGAGAGGATCACGTGAGCGCAGAAGTTCTGGGCCAGTCTGGGCAACATAGCAAGCAAGACTCTGTCTCAAAAAATAATAGGGGTCTGGGGGTATGCCTCAGAAGTAGAGCACTTGCCTAGCACATGTGAAGCCTTGGATTCAATCCCTGACACCATAAAAACAAACAAGATGAGGAAATGCTAATTTTAAATCCTTAAGATAATGAAATATTTGAAATTATAAGCCTGTTCTCTGTAGTTTTAGCAACTGTCAAGTTGACCAATTTAACACAACTCAGGGAGATCTGCTGCCCTTTCAGGGCATCCTGCCAAAAAAAAAAAAAAAATCACCCCATAAGTGAAGGGGAAGTTTCTTTTGCTCCTCTCCATAGACCACAGGGCAAACTGTGACTTAAGCATGGCCCCCATTTTGAAAACCTCTGAAGTAATAGTTTACTTGGTCAAGAATCAGAAATGAAATAAACAGTAGGTAAAAGAAAGGCTTTAAAGATATATAAAATTATATATATATAAAAGGCCACCCCACACATGGCCTTTTAATTACAAAGGATAAAAGGTGCCTTTATAATCAGAGGCTGGATAGACACCACTTAACAAAGTGACCATACATCGTCGTACTACCAACAATGAAAAAGTAACACCAATGTGCCTCCTGAGATGATGCAATAGGAAGGACATTTCCCATACAGGGTTTCTATCAAAAGCATTTGACACAAATCTAATCTTGAAGTAACAAGATGACAAATTCCCAGAGAGCAGGACTTTCACAATCCAAGTGTCCCAGGTCTTTCAAAAATGCCAATGTCACTGGGTGTGGTACACATTTCTATAATCCCAGCAACTCAGGAGGGTAAGAAAGATAGCAAGTTTCAAGGGTAGCCTTGGCAATTTAGTGAGGCCTGAGGCAACTTAGTGAGGCCCTGTCTCAAAAATATAAAAATAAACAAGTTGGGGATGTGGCTCAGCAGTCAAAAAACAAATACCAATGTCTCACAAAGACAACAAAAAAGGGCAAAGAATTTTCAAGTCAAAGAACTGAAGTGACACAAGACCCAAAAGCATGAACCCTGAACAGATCCTGGATTTAAACAGCAACTTACAGAAGACATTTAAGGACAATTTTAAAAAATCTGAACATACACTATTCTATATTATTTGCTCAATATAAAATTTCTTGGGTCAGATAACAGGACTATGATTATGTGGGAAAAAGTCCATGTTAAGAGAGATACATGATAAAGTGCTTAGTAGTAAAATGTAACATTTTCTAAGGGAATAAAAAGCAAATGGCAAATTTGTGGGGGGGGGGGGAGTAACCAGGGACTGAACTGAAAACTCAACCACTGAGCCAAATCTCCAGCCCTATTTTGTATTTTATTTAGAGATGGGTCTCACAGAGTTGCTCAGTGCCTCACTGTTGCTAAGGCTGGCTTTGAACTTATGATCCTCCTGCCTCAGCCTCCAGAGCTGCTGGGATTATAGGCATGTGCCACCATGCCTGACTGGCAAATTGTTTCTTAAAAAAAACTTAAAGCCTGGTCATAGAGAGCACCTCTGGGATGCTGGTAATATTTCTTTCTTTCTTTTTTTTTTTTTTGGTAGAATTTTTTTAATTATACATGGGTACAATATCTTTATTTTGTTTGTTTATTTTTATGTGGTGCTGAGGATTGAACCCAGTGTCTCACATATGCGAGGCAAGTGCTCGTCACTGAGCCACAACCTCAGCCCTTTATTTCTTGTTCTGGGTGGTGGTTACAGAGCTAAATTCCTATTATGTATTTCCTGTATGTGTCAACAAAATTTTATTTTAAAAATATAGCATAGGCAGCACACTATTACACAATGCAATTCTCCACTGGGTCATTTCCTATAAATTAAAACAAACAGAATAAACCAAAGACAGAGCAGGGTGTAGTGGTACACACCTGTATACCCCATCTGCTCAGGAGGCTGAAACAGGAGGATCACAAATTTGAGGCCAGCCTAGGCAACTTTGCAAGACCCTGTCTCAAAATAAAAAGGGATAGTATATAGCACAGTAGCAGAGTACTTGCTTAATACAAGTAGGAATATGGATTTAATCCTTGTTACTGGAGGGAGGGGGGAAATGAAGGCATAACTGCAAAAGTGAACAACCCGTCCCCCCACTCCACCCTATCAAAAATAGAATGCTGAGTTACAGACCTCGGAAAAGCTTCTGAGCAATGTGCAAAGGGTTTCCAAAGCGAAAGTTCTCCCCACTGAACAGAGCTAGGATGAGCTCATTCTGCTGCTCCACACTGTCTGCAGGAAAATGAGGCAGAAACTGCTGGAGGTGTTCCCGCTGAGAGTCGCTTAATACTTCCTGCCATGTTGAGAGACTGACGACATCAAAGAATATCTCAGGCTAGGAGAATTTAGGGGAAAAGTAAACAACAAAAAAATAAGCTTATGTGTATGTAGTAAAATAAATGTAACATGAAACATCATTTTTTAGTGTACAGTGTAGTGGTTTTAAGTACACTCACATTTGACTCTGGGATTTTAATTTTTATTTTCTCTGTTATGCAACCCTCATTACCATCCAAGTTTTTTGTTTTGATTTGGTTTGGTTTTTGGTGGTACTGGGGTTTAACCCAGGGCCTCTTGAATTAGGCAAGTATAGTACCATTGAGTTATATCCCCAGCAATTTAATTTTACTTTGAGATAGGTTCTCACTAGGTTGTCTAGTGTGGCCTCTAATTTTTGAGTTCAAATCATCTCCCGCTTCAGCCTACCAAGTAGCTGAACTACAAGCATGAGCCATCACACTGGTTTATAGCATGTTTTATTACTGCTTAACTGTATTTTACATACTCTTCTTATATGTGATGCATTTCATCTTTTTTTAATTAATTTTTTTTCAGGCAATGTCTAGCTAGATAAAGTAAGGATGAGGAAGGTGGGGAAGGAAATAGAAGACAGAAGTAAATAACTTATAAACCTATTAGGTAGTTATGACTTTATTCCAAGGACAAAAAATAGCCATGTAGGGTTTAAGGAAGAGACAACCAAGCAAACCAACCATATACCAGGCATTTTTGCTCAAATGTATCAAAAGCATCTCAGACTCAATGTTGAAGATCTTTCCCTTCTGCATACCATTTTATTTCAAGCACCTAACTCAGTGTCTGGCCCAGAGCAGGTACTAATAAAATAATTGCTTGCTGAATCAATAATGACACAAAGAGATTGCCTTGAAAGAGTACATAAAGAAAATACAGATGTGACTGGGCAACATACTTAGACCTCATTTCAAAAAAAAAAAGTATGGGAACTATATATACCAACTTCAATACAGTTGCTACTGCAAGTAGAAAGGAGGATCAGAAAAGAGCACAATAATGGTTCTCATTTTCTCTACAATGTCTCAATATTAATAAAGAAAAATATGGAACAAGTACAACTAAATGAAATGATGTTCTAAAACTGACGCACAGGTTCATATTTGCATATATGCTTATTATACTACACATCTACATGTTCGAAATGTTTAAATGAATGTCTTCACATACATAGGTCTTGCACATAAGCACTTTATAAATGGTAACCATATTAATGATAATGATAATGATACATCTTACCTGTGAAAGTGATTAAGGGTACGGTGACATCCTATCCCAGGACATGTACTCTTACTTGACTAGAGGATTAGCATATAGACAGAGATAATACGTCTGGGTTTTGTTTAGTGATTCCCAACACAATAACCATTTTAATGTAAGCATATATACAATTCTGCTCTTAAAATATAAACCTTTATTAATTAACGAAAATTATCTTATTAAAAATAAGGCTTATACTACCAAATTATTCTGACGTTATTAAGCACACAGAATGTATTTAATCTTCCTTAATCGGCATACTAAATAGACTTCACATTAAAAAAAAAAAAGCACAGAGATCACTCTGTCTGCAATGTAGAAAAAATAAAATGAATGGGAGCACAAAAACCGAAAACTTAGGAATAGAAAATGTTCAGAATAGCTGCTATGGGGAAGCTGATAAGAGGGGAAATGCTTACAATGATTTTACTACTTACATCCTCCAGAAGGTCCTCAGGTAGACTAACCCTGGTGCCTCCCAAGAGGCAGTCTTCCATAATTCGTGTACCATGGCCATCTCCACATGGACCTAGTTCCAGGGGATCTGTCAGCATATGGTCCAAGGAATCCATTGTTTCTTCTCCAGAAGTATTCTAGACAAATAGATGCCCCTTAAGGAAGAAAAACAGAAAGCCCAGGAATCTAACCCTCTTCCAGAAAATATTTATTCTCAATTCTGTTCTTACATGTTGTCCTTACCCCCTAATTATAGCTAAACAGCTATTCTCCCTCCCTTCCATCACAGTATTCCCACTGGAATGTTCATGTGCTACCAGGTAGGACTCTCTGTTCAAAATGCTTCTACAGTAATTACTAAATTCACAAGTTTTTATACTTTCATTTTATAAAAGAATAAAATGATTCAGAGATTAAATGGTAATAAGATCCACAATTTAGAGTTTCCAGGTCAACAATCTAACACAATATAATTTAATAATTGTTTAACAATTAATTCTTCTGCTGCTAGAAAATTCACAGGAAAACCACATACACTAGGAAAGCTGAGACACTAACAAAATAAGTAACTTTCCCAATTCCTAATGCAGTACTGAAATTTGCATGCCTGCAAATCCATATTCCTTTTTTTTTTTTTTTTTTTTTGTGGTGCTGGGGATTGAATCCAGGGCCTTGTGCATAGTAAGCAAACACTCTACCAACTGAGCTATATCCCCAGTTCCCCCATGTTCTTAATACTATAAACAATTCCTCTTCCATAAACTCTCAACTTAAATCATGAAAAGAAAGCTTTTTGATATGATTTTATTGGTCTCCATCAACTCCTGCAGCTCCAACCACCTGACCATGACAACCAGTTAAGTAGGTGGCCAATCGACTTTTATTTGGTCCACCTGATCTTTATAACTACATAAATTAATGCTATTTTTTTTCTCCTTCCTACAATAACTGAACCTTGCTGACCATCTTTGGAAAAGTACATACCAAAACATTTTCAGAGCATCTCATAAAGCTGATGGCTGGAATCATGAATAAAGTTGAGGCCACAGGGACCACAGGGAGTTTGAACTCACTCTACATTGATTAAATCCATTCTCTCTAGCTCCTACCCTACCAAATGGGCTAACAAGTACACTAAAATGAAAAGAAAAAATGGACTTAGTCAAAACATAAGATTTCCAGCTTAGATCTACCACTAATTCTCAGTGACATCCCACAACTCTTACCTCACCAGGTGTCAATTTCCTAATCAATAAAATAAAGAAGAGTTGGACCAGATCTTACCTACTGTTACTTCCAATCTTGGAATCTTGCAATGAATGATCTCCAGCTAAGTAAGTTTATATCACTAATGTAGGGACTTCTCATTTCCAAAACTCTTATATGATAAAGGGCAGACCTGTAATGCTACATATAAAATAATGCACCTTCCCACTAGATTATCTCAAGTTCTCCTGAAGTAATTTCAGATTATGTAAAGATATAGCATTAAGATTCGTGTTAGCAAGGCAGCTGGGTGGTCCCCAAGCAATTGTGCCCCCACACCCCCTCACCCTTCAGCACACTTTGAAAGTAAGACATCCTGAACATACCTGGTGCTCAAGTAACTGAGGCAGATAAGAAAGAAAGCCCATGGCACATTGTTGAACAAAATTTTAAAATAAAGGGAAAATGTAAAAGCAACCTGATGCTTACAATAAATCCTCTTAACATAACTGGCACACAACAGTCACAAATGCAAAGTCAGTATCCTGGCTGACATTTATGTACTTACTTACAAAACTTGCTTACAAGTTTCTTCAATTATGGTGGATATTTAGCTAAATTTTATATATTCCAGTGACAATCTTTGCCTTGTCACTATTCCGAACAGGATCTCAAAACATAAAAAGCAGCAGCTACAGGAGAGGTGAAATCCCGGAAGCCATCGATTTCTGACTTGGGAGAACCCCGGACTTCTTCACTAGACCAAAAGGCCTCTCCTCTGCACCTGAGCTAACCTTCCCTCCTAGACCCTCCCCAAGCAGAAGTTAAACCCTTCGCTCCTTCCGGAGCAACGGCCAGTTCCAAATTCGCGGACCCCAACAGCAAACTGCACCCTACCCAAACCTACCCAAGGCCAAGGCCCAAGTCCTGCCAGTCTAAACTGCGGTCCTCGCCCCCCACCCCTCCCCCACACCGTGCCTAACCCTAACCCTCACTCACCCGGGCCGCCTCGCTCCCCACGCCTAGCTGCCTTGCCCCAACCCATGGGTAAGACGACCTCTGAAACCCACCTCCTTCCTCCGCCCGCCGGCTACACTTCAACCCTCTCGCAGCCCCCAACCCGTCCTCACCTGAACTGCAGGCACAGGTCTCCCAGCCTGTGGCCCTCCTCCAGCCCCGTACTCCCGAACGCGCTCGCTCCCGCAAAGCGTCTGGGTGCGTGCACGCTCCAGGCTCCAGCGGCGGAAGGGGCGGGCTTTACGGGGCGGGGGCCGTGGAGGGCGGGCCGGGGACGGGCGGGGGCGGGGGCGGGGACGGCGGGGCGAGGCCTGGAGCCACGCTAAGGACAGCGCAGACCTGGCTGGATTTCACCGCCTATTACTCCATGTCACTTGCAGCTTGCAATCCGTGGTGATGAAGAGTTGGATTCTCTTATCAAGGCTGGGAGTGTGTGATCCCTCATATCCACAAAATCTCTGATTGGAAAGAAGGGACAGCAGAAAACTGCTTAGAGGGTTGTTTTAACCAACCCTCTTCCTCCCCGTCATTGTACTGTAACTGGGACAGAAGATAACAATGGGGCTGTGTGGAATTTTTAAGAACAGTTAAATGGAAAGGCATAGACAATTACTGTAGACATGTTAAAAGAAACATTTGTATGTTCTTAGACTCGAAGTTTGATAAAGTATCTTTTCATGTGGTGACAGTGTGTGTTGATTGGCTAGGTTCCTCCCTTATGTTTTATACAAAATGGAATTGATAAACCACTTTTTTACAAAATTATTATCTCAAAATTGTTCTGTTCATGATGTATTGAAAATATTTGGCTCAGCTTTTGAAATTTTTGAAAAATAATCACTATTCAGAATAGTCTTAAAGTAGAAATTGGGAATATAGCTTTATCATGATTGATATTCCATGTTATATTGAATGTTGGATGCTATCAATTTGTTATAATGCTCCATTATCTTATTATATACCACTAAGGAAGAAAAACTCCTTGAATTAATGCCATCAATTATAGGATACATCTCAATTTCAGAGATGTTAGAATATGTAAAAATGTGCATTTAAGACCAAAATGGGGTAGTAAATTTACTGGAATCCTTTACTGAGTACTTACCATGTGCTAGGCCCTGTGGTCAGTGCTTTGTAATCAAGAAATCTTATCCTCATATTATAGACATGGTTCCTGAGGTTCACAGAAATTAAATGATCTGCCAAAAAATATCTAGGACTAACAGAGCAGAGCTAGAATACACACCTAGATCTTAATGACTCTAGAGCCCACACCCTTACCTAGATTTAATGTTAGATTTATTAAACCTTTCTACTTTTGGCTTAAAATTCCAACTTTTGGTGGTCTTTTATTGATATAGTAACAGTAATTTGTACAATATTTTAAAAATTATTTTTCGTTGTCAGTTTCTAAATAACTGTTAGAAGATTTAAGTTAATGTACTAATTAATGGTCCATCAGAAAATTCTATTTTTCTGTCTTGTCAGGAAATCTTCACAAAGAAGGAAATTTTTGATGTTTTATAGTATAACACTATCAAAACAAAACTCAATTTTAAAAATATTTTATTATGGAAATCCTCACAAATACACAAAAATAAAGAGAACAGTATGATTAAGCCCATCTTCCAACTTC